CCTACAGCTATCTACAAACAAATAGCGCTTTCAACAAAACTATTTTCGTCTTCTTCAGGTTGAAAGAACAGTTAATAACCTTCAAATTCAAATTACAGCAACAGCAAACCAGCAATGGAATAAAATCAAAAAAGAACAAACAGAGAATTTGAAAGGCGCGTGCTCGATGCCAATGTGCATGAGCAATAGAATATTTTGCGAGAATGCGGAGCTAGCGACGTTGTTTTAACCTGTTGTATAAGTTGACCCACAATGAAGGCACATCCAGCGTGGGGGTGTTGCATGGATTTAGCACGCTGATAAATAGCGCCTCCCATATATACAAGAGGTTCCTGCTATCACACTGTTTGAGTATCCCCACTTGGTCCCACATCGGAGTGTATTGGTGTTGCAACACCAATCTTGCCAACTCGGTGTCGCACCTACCCGTACTAATAGACTGTTTATGTTCGGAGATGCGGCAAGACAACGTTCTGGATGTCGCTCCAATGTACTGGGTATGAGTACCAGATGTTGTACTTTCCAATGGGATGGAATACACTCCAGACCGCTCTAGCACAGAAAACGGATCCCTGTCATTGCATAACATTCTTCTAAGGCTTGGCCGCGGCGACACTGGCAGGAAAAGCGCATGCTGCCTAAAAATACGGCAAATGCGGCCAGTAATACGGCCACAGAATGGTAATGGGGGCTGGATTATCGTACATTCTTCTGAGGCCTGCAAAGTCATGTCGAGAAATAGAGAACCTTTGACCTTTCTAAGCTAAGGATGTACCTGTACTTAGATCTAGCATAACCCGCCGCACTTACCGCTGCACTAATAGCTTCAAGCTCGATGTTGACAAGAGCTTGATTGGAAGACAATAAAAAGGCCCTTCTAACTAGAGGGGCAATAGCTGCATTGACATAGTGCCGCGGTTGGTACGCGGTGGCAGGGATTAAAGGAGGTATGCTGTTGAACTTATGGAACACGGAGAACACTATCGCACCCTGGGCTTTGGTGATGTTTAGATCTGAAAACGCAATTTCACCTCCCTTTTCCTTTTCCCAGGTAAACTTGATGGTAGAATAAACCTCCATAAGATAACTTTTGAGAATATGGAATTCCTCTTCCGTGTGCTGCCAGGCTACTAAGATATCGTCCACATTTGCTGCGCTGTGAAACCCTCCTTAACAAGCATAGCATTGGTGAGCATAACCGCCTCAAACTGCGGTACCGAGGGGTAGAGTGCAACCACATCCATCTTGTAGAAGTTGTAATTGCTATGGGATAGATTATTCAATACAGAAGAAATAGTGGCCTTTGCCGCAATGGACGATGACATAACTAAAGGCGATGGAGGAAGGAGCCACTTATTGAATAATCTATCCCATAGCAATTACAACTTCTACAAGATGGATGTGGTTGCACTCTACCCCTCGGTACCGCAGTTTGAGGCGGTTATGCTCACCAATGCTATGCTTGTTAAGGAGGGTTTCACAGCGCAGCAAATGTGGACGATATCTTAGTAGCCTGGCAGCACACGGAAGAGGAATTCCATATTCTCAAAAGTTATCTTATGGAGGTTTATTCTACCATCAAGTTTACCTGGGAAAAGGAAAAGGGAGGTGAAATTGCGTTTTCAGATCTAAACATCACCAAAGCCCAGCCGTGTTCCATAAGTTCAACAGCATACCTCCTTTAATCCCTGCCACCGCGTACCAACCGCGGCACTATGTCAATGCAGCTATTGCCCCTCTAGTTAGAAGGGCCTTTTTATTGTCTTCCAATCGAGCTTGAAGCTATTAGTGCAGCGGTAAGTGCGGCGGGTTATGCTAGATCTAAGTACAGGTACATCCTTAGAAAGGTCAAAGGTTCTTTATTTCTCGACATGACTTTGCAGGCCTCAGAAGAATGTACGATAATCCACCCCCCATTACCATTCTGTGGCCGTATTACTGGCCGCATTTGCCGTATTTTTAGGCAGCATGCGCTTTTCCTGCCAGTGTCGCCGCGGCCAAGCCTTAGAAGAATGTTATGCAATGACAGGGATCCGTTTTCTGTGCTAGAGCGGTCTGGAGTGTATTCCATCCCATTGGAAAGTACAACATCTGGTACTCATACCCAGTACATTGGAGCGACATCCAGAACGTTGTCTTGCCGCATCTCCGAACATAAACAGTCTATTAGTACGGGTAGGTGCGACACCGAGTTGGCAAGATTGGTGTTGCAACACCAATACACTCCGATGTGGGACCAAGTGGGGATACTCAAACAGTGTGATAGCAGGAACCTCTTGTATATATGGGAGGCGCTATTTATCAGCGTGCTAAATCCATGCAACACCCCCACGCTGGATGTGCCTTCATTGTGGGTCAACTTATACAACAGGTTAAAACAACGTCACTAGCTCCGCATTCTCGCAAAATATTCTATTGCTCATGCACGTTGGCATCGAGCGCGCGCCTTTCAAATTCTCTGTTTGTTCTTTTTTGATTTTATTCCATTGCTGGTTTGCCGTTGCTGTAATTTGAATTTGAAGGTTATTAACTGTTCTTTCAACCTGAAGAAGATGAAAATAGTTTCGTTGAAAGCGCTAGTTGTTTGTAGCGATAGCTTTAGGTTGTTAACGCCTAGATGGAAACTGTGTTATTGAGACATGCATTATCAGATGATTTTATGCAAGTGTAAACCTAGGCCTAGAAGTTGAAGAAGAAAACATATATCTCTGGACGACAAAATTAGAATTATGCATGAGTACTAGTTCAATTTTTCACCATGTTATAGGGGAGCACATTATATTGGAGTTCACTGTATAATCACAAAGACTGTCTATCAATAGATAGTTTATGTAACTGTATTTTATTGATTTCTTTAATTTGAGTCACCTTCTATCAACTTATTATTTTAATACATTTTTACGTACAAAAACGTAGAAAACAAAGAAAATTATTATTATTATTATTTGAACTCACCAGTAAATTATGCACAGTAATAAACAGATGAGCCATAAATATGAAGTTTTAAAAAATAAAAATTACATAATATCAAATAAAGTTTCTCTGCAAAAAAAGAATGTTTGATAAATTTTATAAATTAAATAAATAGAATTTAAAATAATTATAAATAAAATACAAAATTTTAAACCTATTGTGTAATTTTTTGTAAAAAAAAGAATTAAATTAATATTTTATATGTCTACAGTTTGTATAAAAAGTCAAAAGTGACCAAAAACAAATATTTTTTATTTGAAACAAATTTCATTTGGCCTCTCTCCAGAACTTTCATCAACTCTTTAAAGATCAAATAATGGGATTTAAAAAAAACACCCTTAAAACTAATATAAAAATTTAACAGATAAAAATGTTCTTTGTGAGTTTAACAAAATGTTTAATCTAATTTTTAAATTGTAATCTGCGTCATATCAGTAGCTTTCTTCGGACAGCCAAATATAGAATTTTCTTTTGATAAACTGGAGAAAAGCCAAAAATATATCACAAATAAGGAAAAACAATTTTTTTTTCTTTGGTCGTGTTCTATATTTTCATTCGCTGTCAACAACGTACAATATTTATTTTATCCTGTTGACATTTATATTAATTCATTCATTCTTGAATGGTGTAACAAAAATTTATTGTCCTATTATAAAAATATATTTATTATAAATAATCCCAACTAACTCGGGCAGATTTTTTTGAAAAATTGTACAGTAATGAAAAAGTTCTTGACAAGAGAAAAATTATAATTATGACAAAATTAAAATTATTGAGTGATTTTGATATTCAGAAGTCTTTGTGATACCATGCATTAATATATATTACTGTATATTGCCAGTTACAGTTACTAAAAATTGTACATTGATTTAACTGTCATATTTTGAGCTCATTTCGTGTAATAATAAATTCAGCAGTATAACCTACTAAGTAAAACTTCTATATAGAGCAGATCTCATAAATTATGGTACTGCATATTTGCCTTCTCATTTTCACAGAAAACATCCCATTAACTTGTTGTTTTGTAAACTCAGACATCCTTCACCCTCTGTTAGTCCAAATTAGTAGAAGTTTACTGTAGTAAATACGCTTTTTAAATTTTATGTTGCTATGTACTGGTAATATTTAGTTTATTATAAGCTTAATACAGTGAGATTCAACAGTCTCTCATATGTAGACAAAGGTTATATACTTATAACCTTATATAGTTACTCAAAGTCACAGAATATGATGGCACTTGTATGATGTGTGTTAAAGGATCCTCACATGCCATTTAACTGAATGCATATATGAATGCTTTTTCTTCCACTCATGGTGAATACATGTTAACATGTCTGCACACATGCATCCTTTTGGATATTTTGTATGGAAACTTTTGAATCACAATATACAATTAATCATTTTTAATATACTGTAAATTAAAGTTATAAGACTATATTTGAGGCATTAAATTTGCTCTTATTATAGAATTAATTATTAATTTAATCAATATTTAAAATCAATTTTAGTTTAATTTAATCATTAACTATTACTCAGAAACTTGTCAGATGAGATATTTAAAATAATATATATATATATATTCATTCATTTAAAAATATGCTTGAATAAAGGAACACAGCAGAAGAAGCAATTTTTGTGCCAACAATTTTATGAAATACAAGAAAAATATATATATTTCCATTTTGAAATTTTGTTAAAAACTCAAAAACGAAATAAATGGATATGAAAAATTCTCATTTGTACAAATTAAACATGTTTTGTGGTATATATAAAAATTATATTAAAGTATAACTGTGCATTATAACAGGCATATATCATATATAAAAATGTAAACAAACAGATTTAAGCGAAACATTCCAAGGGAATAATTCAGCCATATTATATTCTTTGTGTGTGTTTTTTTTATATATGACAAATTATGGTATGGAAACAATCAAGACATTCAACAGATAGCATACAAGTGGACAACATATAAATAAATCAGCAACTAAAGAGAAACAATTTAAAGTGTCATGCACATTCTGTACCTTCCATTTGTAATGCTTGAGTTGCTATTGATCCCATAGATACAGACTTACGGGTGGCAGGCTGGGAAGCCTCCATCCCAACTTTCGGCCAGGCGTACTGAGAACGGTATTCGCTCTTGTTCTGCTGGTCTTCCGTTTTGCGTACTCCGGGATTGCCATGCGGACGACAAGGCGGAGGGTAGCTAAGAGCCATTGCCTATATATAACACATATATACATATTAATGATATGATTTAAAAAGAATAAAATTTTCAAGAATAATTTTAAAACTTCTTTATTATTTTCTATTTTTTGAATGCAGGGGTACCCAATAGGGATTGTAAATTTACCGACTTTTTCATTTACCGATAATTCGGTTAATGAAAATTAAAATACCGGTTTACCGGTAAATTACCGGTAAATATTTTTCCTGAAAAATAAAATTATGGTGATAAAAAATATAAGTAATTTTGATTTCCATTTCACATTTTTTTATTTCAAAGGTATAGGATATAAAAAATATAAAAATTAAAGTGTTATTCAAAACAAACTATAATAATAACTTTTAGAAACATAAATAAAATAATACAGAAAATAAAAATAAAACAGAAATAATATATAGTATCATCTTATTGTTTACCATTTTTTAAAAAATAACTTCTCAAGAAACTTAAATTATTTAAAGTCTTATCTCCTAATTTCGATCTAATTTTTGTATAAAATAATCCAGAATAGGGTTTTTTTTTAACTCTTTCCGCCATGTGAGCCTCTTTTTGCAAGCCCATTATGGGTTCGGCCAGGTCTGCAATGGCGCTGTCTGGTTGTGAGGGACGGGGACCGACATATCCGTACGAGCCACCCCCGGAAAAGTTCCTGGGATTTTTCGACCCGTTCGGATTCGAACCCAGGTCCCCCAGAGCGGTAGACTGCCATTTTGACCACTTGGCCATCCAGCCACATCCATATTAGGTTAGATTAGGTTTCTAGACTTTTTCGGACAGCATCTTTAAGTAATAAAAATGTTTTCAGCATGTTTAGTAAGCTATTCCACCTGGTTCTAAAATCTAAAATTAAAGAAAGTTCTTTTTGTAAGAGTAATAGGGATTCCCCACGAAAATAAGGTTAGAATAATACATATTTGAACAATCTTAAGGCATAATGTTAGAATCTTGTAATATATATTTGTATTTAAATATTTTACACAGTTGTTAGAAGTAAAAAATTTATTTAAGGTACAAATTTTAATGTTATTTTGCAATAATATTGCATTAATGTCCTGTCATAATGAGGTGTATTCAAAATTGCTATTAATTTAAAAAATACGTGAAATATTTACGTATTATTATTATTTTTAAATATTAAAAAAGAAATATTTACTTACTCTTTAAGAAAAACGTTGATTGTAAAGATTATAAATCTTTAATTAAAAATCTCAAAAAACGGCAGAGCAAAAATATATAACTAGAGCTTTCTGTACAATTTACAGCGCCTCTCAAACCCAAGAAAGTTTAAATTAAAATTAAACAGAAAATATCTCACATAAAATTAATAATTAAGTATATTGTTCCTTACACTTATCTGTATTTTTTTTTTCAATGTTCCTTTAGCCCTTTTAAATATCTTTAAATACAATATTCTCTACATAAAAATTTTTAGTATGAATTTTTCATTTACCGAATTACCGGTAAATTTCAAAAATTTACCGGTAAGTTTACCGAATGTTTTTTTGTCAATTTATTGGTTAACCGGTAAATCGGTAAACCGGTATACAATCCCTAGTACCCAACATCTAGTCGCTAGCAACTCCTGAAGCTGATTTATTTGGAAATTGTTGAATAAAATTTTAGTAAAATGAAATACACAATTTTGAATTCTGATTTATGTTGAAAAATTAAATTGGAATTAATACTTTATTTTATTATTAATTTCAACCTATTTTAAATTTATTCTTAATTTGTTATCAATATAGAAAGTAGTCAGCCAATTAAATTTACTTTTGGAAATGAGTTGACAAACAAAAAAAAAAAACAAGAGATGAGACTGATTTAAAATACCATTCTGTACTTAAATACTATCAAAATTTATCAAAAACAATCAAAAATAATCATATTTTGATGATGCAAATGACAAAATATGTATGCAAATAGAATATGATTCAAGAAATATTGTTTTTTATAATTCAAATATTATTTCAAGTTATCAGTAAATATGACTTTAAATATAGATATGCTGACTTTTATGAATTCTGAAGAATGAATTATAATAAACTATGATAAAAAATTATTACCGTTGGCATTCAGCCAATAGAGAATCCTACTTACACAATATTATAGTATCTTTCTTATGAAATCTAAATATTTTAACTAATAAAAGTTTTATATATTTTATTAATTATTTATATTATTGATGAGATAAATAAAGGCACAATAGTTTGTATATCAGAATTATGTGTAAATTTATTGTAAGTACACCAGATATGTATTTACATTATTGATATACTGTACGTATTAGCATATATTGTATATTTATATGAGATTGAGCTTGTCTACTAACACGATAATATATTTTATACTCTCAACATTTGTTTAGTGAATAAAAAAAATAAATCACACATTGTATTGTTTCAGAGTGTTAAATTAGAAAGGAGACAATGAAACAAGTTTAAATTTAAATACATTCATTAACTTTCATGTTAGTATACCCAGGAATACAACTACAGTAGAGCATCGATTATCTGAATATCGATCAACTGAAACATCGATTAACCGAAAGCGTTCCAGTCAGCAAATTTAAATTTCCACTAGTGCTGTGGCACTGCAATATTTGGCTATATCTTGGGCTACTCCAATATTATTTTTGTTGGTGTGCGTGTTTTAGCTGGCAGCACTGGTGCGACCATGAGAGGGTACTTAAGGACTCACCAGGATTTGAATGAATTTCAACATGGGATAGGTTAATATATTTTTTTGTACATAATCGGTTATTCGAACAACCCCAGTCCCAAATGGTTTCAGATAATCAATGCTCTACTGTATTTCATTGTCTCTTTTCTAACTTAATGTATGGAAAGTGGGTTATCATGTCTTATAACCTAATTACAGTATATACTTTATAACAACTTTCATATATTATATGGTTAATAATGCATAATACACATATAAAATGACTACATGTTTATTAATTAATCCTTAAGCCCTAAGCCCGAGATATCTTGGGCTTGGGGCTTAAGGATATTTACAATGATTTTTATCACAAAGTTTCAGTGCAGGATTAATTAATTAAGAATAATTGGCATTAATTAATTAAGAATAAAAATATAAATTGTTTACTTTTCAGACATTTTAATTGACAAAATAACTATTGACAAACATTTTAATAATATATACATTTTGCCAAGCACCTTAACATTTAATTATAATGACTCTCTCGAGCGATTGAGAATAGCAATTATACACATGCAGAATAAATTCTTTATTGTACATACTACATAATTGCTATCCTTTATCACCAGGAGATTTTAAAACTAAAACATCAATAAAAGTGCTTGGCAAAAGTGGTTAAGTGCTTTATTTATGACATTCCAAAGACTGATTATTTTAACAATTTTTATTTACAATTATAATTTAACATACTTTGATATTTGTTACATACAGCTGCACCTTGGTAACTATATTTTTACTACTGCAAACAAGGTTCTTTAGTATCCATCACAATAACTGAATCAAATTATCCCAGTATTATGAATTTCTTTTAAGTGCATTTGTGAAAGTCTTGATAGTAAAAGTGGGAAGTAAGAAGTATTTGTACTTCCTACTTATCTCTTTACATTCTCACTCTTTTTTCATTTGTTTGACAGTACTGTGTCTACATTAATTTCAGGTGTGCAGTTTAATGATTTTTATCACAAAGTTTCAGTGCAATCTGAAACCATTCGCATTTGATATTTGCTGATTGCCAAATAGTTACCTATTTATCCCCTTTGATTTGGCACAATATACCGACAAGGAGTAAGAAATAGCAAATACCAAATATCAGTCGTCAGTCGCAAGTACAGTCGACCCCCCTATAACGTGCGTTCCTATAACGACAATTCCTATAACGTAGCGAAAAAATTGTAGCAACATTCGTATAAAGTACTGTACCTCCTATAACGTCGTTTCGCGACAAGATTGATAGAATCTGGACCAATAGTGGATGAGCAGCCAAACTACTTTCCTCCGACCCTGCGCCACGCTACAGAGCGGCTAAATTGAGTTTGCTATCGTCTGTACAGTATTATATATAAATTAGGTACTGTACATATAATTATATATTAACTTATTGTAACTTTATTATAATTAAATACACAATTTCCTCCGTCTAGCGTGGCGCCACGCTACGGAGATTTTAGGCAATAAATTGAGTTTATTATCGTCTGTACAGTATGTAAATTTGGTACCGTAAGTCTAATACAGCACTAATTTTATACATTTCTTGTGAAAGAAACACTTCTTATTCAATGGCCATAAAAATTATTTATATTAATGATGCCTCCAAAGATCAAGTTATTTTTCTGCGAAAAATTATTTATCAGAAATCGCGGCTGCCATTTTGTGTGCTGTTCCGCGACGAAGACAAGCTTTGAACAACGGGCGTAGTCGAATGGTGCACACTCGGTAAGTAATCCTATAATTTTTTGTTTATAGCATAGTTTATACAGATTATTCCCAAAAAATTATACGTGTTTTGGAAATGTTGAGTGGAATTAGTCTAGAATCGGTTAATTTTATAGAAGAAAACCTTTCAAACAGCCTTAGTCCGTAAAGTTCACACCTGTCGGGCTGTGATTGGCTCATGTATTTAATCATTCCTACAACGTAAAATTCGATTAGCGTGGAACATATCTAAGCGTTATAGGGGGGTCTACTGTAAATCATCTACACTATTTGACATTGACCAAATGTTTGCTCTGCATTTGGCAAATACTGAGTGCAAAGATCTTCCTCTACAAACTTATTCTTAACAGGTCATTACAATATGTCCACCATCTCATTTGTTTATTTTCATTGTTGCTATGTTTTCATACAGTAGTATTTGATATGAAGTATATTCTACAGTGTCATTATAAGATTTCCAATACAGCCTACTGCATATTATAAAGAAATAAAAAATAAAACACTAATATCCAAATTTATTATATTTTAATTGTTTTCAAGAGCACATTAGATTTTGATAATTCAGAAGTTGTAGAAGAGCAAGAACATGAGAAAGCTGATTTACAAGAAAATCCCCCTCTCCCTGAAGCATGCTATGGGGTATGGCTATATTTAATTAAACACATTGTTCAGGATATATCTTCAGCAGTTATAACAAACTAACAGAGAAAAGCAACAATCTATTGTATCCAAAGATTTCATGGTCAGTTACAAAACATATTTCATGAGCTATGAAAAGAGTAATTTGTTCTGTGAAGATATTGTGGTGATTATAAAGGAAACATTTTTTCCTATTTCCTACACTGCAATTTTACACAGACTTGGAACAAGTATTATGGATTTTGGACTAACAGTATATACAAACATTGCAGAAAACTATTTTCTCATCTGAATTACAATACTTCTGTTCTACTAATGGTGTATGTAATGCTAAAATCTTGATCCCATCTCGCTCCAGGTAAGTTCATTATTAACTTGTTTACATAGTTGGCACAGGTCCTTACAAGCACAAACTTCAATCAACTAACAGTCATTAGTGTGTGCCACAGTGTGTTGCTGTTCATAATTTAAATAATAATTTTTATTTTTTCAAATAATATATCAAATATAAATGTACACGAGTAAATTACTAATGTGTGTTCTATTTTAGCTGTTACTGCTAGTTCTTCAAATTAAAAACTTGGTGACATTTTTGATAGAGTGCTTGGAATAATTAATAATAAATAGAATTACAAGTGATTTCAGCCAAGCTAGAGCATTACTGACTGTCGACTGACTAAATACCTGAAGAGTATTTTAAGTGAGCAGACAAAGAACTGTGTGTAATTAACTGAATATCTGAATATGTTGTATAACTAGACTGAATGGCTTGATAATGTGGATCAAGCCTAACTGTATTTTATTGGATTATTGTAGGAAAACAATAATGGTGTTGTTTCTTTTGAAATTTTATAATTTTATAATTAATTTTATGTAAGTTTTGAGTATATGCTTTGTAGAATGAAAGTATTAAAATTCAAACATTCAAATTTTGTAGTACATTTGATTTTGATCTTTATTTCCAGATTTAAATGATTATATCATCAATCTCTTATTTCTTGAATACATCTAATTCGAAACAATTCAAATTTTATAATNTTATTAATTTTTTATTAAAATTGTATTATACAAATACAGTTTTAATAAAGCTGTTATATACCTTCTTCAAATAAAATTCTGACATCATCCAACTTGCTCCAAATGGCAATTACATGTGATGTTATCATAGATGATGGCTGAAATTTTAGACAATATTCAGCAATTGTTCTTCACCGAATACGCAGCAATAGGCAACATTTTCTTTTGTCTATTCATTATTGTCATTCACATTATGTAAATATTATACAACATAAAATTGCTAATCTTTTTCAGGTGTCCACATTTTATGTTGTGTAATTTTCTCTTGTTTAAGACAATGTGGGATGATGACCACTTCCACTGATTCTCTTCCATCATAAAACTGAAGATGTTAGAACAGTTCAGAGCCTCATTATTGCATGTCTTTTGTGCTAGTTTTATGGTTTCAGTAACACAAAGACCCACATTAAAACAAAATTTAATTGCAATTCTCTGTTCACTTTTTGAATCTATGATGCAACAAAACAGACATAGTTACACTAGATGCTATAAATCACAAGTTTCTGTATGCACACTAGTGACACTCTGCAAGTACAATAGTTGCTACTACTTAGCACGTTTGCCAATACTCTTTAGTCCTAAAACTTATGGACTGCACAGTGTATTTGGTAAATTGAGATTGTCATTTATTTCATGAAGAATGGATTTAATTATAATAGGCTAATTTCTAAAGAAAAATTGATGAACTGTGATTCAAATAGCCATGCAGGCTTTACATCCTATCTTTTTTTTATGCAAAATTTCCTTTTAATCAGTGGCACCATTCTTTACCGTGTCAACTGCCATTTTATCTTTGGCAAAAATGCTTGAAACACCCACACCAATTAGAACTACTCTGCTCTGCTGTCTCTTCAATTGACAAGGATGGATTTTGTTCTCATACCTAAGCTTATATATATTAGGAAGTATTTCTTTAGCTTGTCCTATTAAATGTCCTTCCTTGTTATTTTGAAGTAACATTGAAATGATTTGTTTGGTTTGGCATTCAACATTGAGTTTCTGTTTGACCTTTTTAACAATTTTTGATATTTAATTTCTGATATTTTTACAAAAATATCAGAAATTTCAAACAGACTATAATAATGTAAACATGTCTTATAATTTTCTATTATGTGTTCTTTATACACTAGTTCTAATTTGTAATGAACACAGAACTATTTTCCTTTGAATATATAGTCTAATGCACTGTTTTTGAACCTGTGGGTCGCAAACCCCAGGGGGTCACAAAGCCTTACACGGGGGGGGTCGCGGGTGTAAGAAAAGACAAGTGTTTGTAGGTCCTACACTACAATAAAAAAAACTAGAATTTCAGTGAAAAGACTGTGCCTGTTTATTTTACAGTACAGTTGGTTTTTCGATCAATATTTAAAGAAAGAAAATTAAATACGTAGTTTTTAAAATCACTGATATAGTTTAAATATGGCCCCGGGAGGGTTGCCAAAATTTTTTAACTTGTAAAGGAGTCGCGTATTCAAGAAGGTTGAAAAACACTGGTCTAATGAACATAAACTCCATTTTTATGCTGGGAAAGACTAAAGTTTCTTGACTCATAAAATAGCTTTTATTCAGAATTTTTTTAATTATATAAAAATATTTTCAAAACTATTAATTCTGGTTTAAATTCCTTAGAAATGTGGAATTCCTTACTCAAATTGTAGAAAAGAAAATATACTTTTGCACTATAATTCAATCAAATATCCAACAAAATTCAACTAACATGTTAATACATGGGCATGTGCAACCAAGGTCGAGGGCTTTATCTTCTTAGGACCAGATCCCATTGCATGCAACTATATCCGTGTAAATGCTGCTAAAAAATTGGACAGGGCCACAAATGGGTTTAAAACTGTCCCAATTACATAACTAACCTTTATAATTTATTAATTTCTTTAACAAGTTCAGTGTAACTCAATGGAATTTCTCTATTCAGTCAACCAATGCAAATTAACATGTTATTTATATAAACGTATCTCAGTTTGGTTTATTCAAAGAGTTCAATGGCAAAATGTAAATGTTTTTATGAAATTTATTAATAAAAAAATAAGATGTAGATATGCTAAAATAATTTATTTATTTATACTTATTATTAAATTAAGATATTATTTTACTTAATTATTAATTAACTTACCACATCACCATCTTTGGTATTTTTTACACCTTTCTCCTGAGCTTTCTTTCCTGGATTTCCAGAAGGATTCTAAATAATTAAAATAATGAATATTTTAATACTTTTCATTCACTTATTTATAAAAATTAAATTGGACTGTAACATAGTAAAGTTTAATATAAATATAAAAAAATATTGCACAATTCTATAAAGATAATAATGTATTTATAAAAAGTTTAACGTTATGATGTTAATTTATTAAACATAAGGTTTTTAACCCACTGTGTATTAAAAACTGTTACTGCTTTATGCTGCTGATGACTTTTTATTAATTAGTTCATATTTACATGCTAACATTATGACAGTTTCGATGACTAATAGGTGATATTATATCCCTATTCAATTAAAACTGTTTTTCTCAGAGCAAAAACGTTTTTAATTCTAAGAACTGAATTGGATTTATTGAATGTTTAGGAGTTTCCTTAACAAATTTATGACGTATACATACAAACACATTCATTTAATTTTAATTTATGATGTGACTAAGAAAATACTTTAATAACAAAACTTAGATTTTCATTAAGAATGAGAGTCTGTTGGACTTTTCCTACTAAAATAGTAATGAGATCAGTAGATTAAATTTTACACACACATTTTCACTTTTTTTATCGTAAATCATTATATTACTATTAATTGAATTACTTGATGCATCTTTAACAGTGGAATTTTTAAAATAAAAAGAACATTTCAAATGTTTTCAACCCAGTTAACAGGCTGTCTTCAGGTAGGGACAGTCAAAAAAGGAGCCTCTTGTTTGACTGTCCCCATACTAGGATGGCCCATTAACTGGGTCAAAAACATTTGTGCTCTTTCTTAAAAATTTCACTATTAAAGGTGAATTAAGTAATTCAGTTAAGTTACCACAGTGCCTATATTAGGCACTGTGGTACATCTTTACTTGTATTAAAGAATTTTTTTGTTTTTACTGTAAAAATAGTTGTAAAGCTCTTTCAATTTATTCATCAGTAAAACTCAACATGTATAAATTCAATAATGATGCAATGTGGTAAACAAATAATACTTTCTTCCTTTAACTATTTATGCATTGGATGAGATAAATTACAATATATTTACAAAACTATGTACAGATCCCTATACAACAAAGGAAAAATTATGTATCCATGATTTGGCATCATCTGAGATGTGATGTACTTCCTCAACAGGCCTTGGGAAGCCATAGATAGGACAATCAGTTGCTAGGTGTATCACAGTCTGGAAGGATCCACATTCAAATTGAAGGGTCTATTGATTGCTGCCATTTATTGAGATATTCTAAGCAACCACAATTAGTCCTTACTCTGTTAAGAGTTGTCCATGAATTTCTTGGGAGACTGAATCCTGGTTGCCTCTTTGTAGGGTCAAGAATTGGGCATTTGTTGGTAAAAGTCAAGGGAATTCCATTCCTTCTTCTATGCTATAGATATGTCGAATTGTGTTTCTTGCAATATTTTACCTTCTTTCCATATTGGTTTCCTTGATTTTAGTCTTTCCTTGGGATGCAGGAGGTTTCTGATAGGGTGTTATTCATTTTCTATGATTTTATTATATTCTTTTAATGTGAAGACTTTTAAGAGAGGGGAGGGATCTTTGACGATATTAGGAGTTGAACAGAGTGTTGAAGAAACTGTCCTCATTATTTTGTTCAGTTCTACATCAATCAACTTTGTGTATGCACTTCTGTTCCAAATTGCAGCACAGTACAGTGGGTGATCGGTTAATGAACAGATTGGATAATGAACACTTACGTGAAAGATTTTTATGATCGGACAACAAACACATGTTCGGATAACGAACACTTCACTGAACAAACATAAAAAGAAGTGATGAAAATAGCAAATACCGATTGATTTTCCCTTGTCTTCAGGTAACAATTCAAAACTTTTTGGAGCGAGGGAGACGTCGACATCGACGCTCAACCCGATATATACTGATCAGACAGTATTCCTCGAACTTTGAAATACTCCCTCGTAATTCCAGCCTTTTATTTTTCAGACAGAAACAATTCTTTTATAGTATTCGCGAGACTGTCGGGTGGGCACTCGTTAAGTTTTGCGTCAGTTTTTATTTTCGAAAGATGAGAGTATAATAGCAAAGTTATAGATTGGGCAGAAGATGTCTGATGTTGCTGGGCAGTATGGTTTGAACAAATCTACAGTAGGGCACAGTTCAATCTTATCTAAGAAAGATACAGTATAATCAAGAAGACTCAAGCAGCTAAAGGAGTAACAAAAATCACATCTGAGAAATAAAGAATGATGAAGAGCTCATAATGGAACCAGAAACGGACCTGACGACAGAAGAACGCCAAGAACCTTTCAATGAAGAACACCAAGAAACTCAGCGAGATATGTTTTATTCTGAAAAAGAGGATTAATGCCGATATCTGCTATTAATTAAAGATCTTTTGAAGAAGTGGGAATGTCAGATTGACGGTCTTAGAATTGCATACAAACCAGGTTAAGGTTAACAGGCTTGGGGATTTCTACAATTACAATGCTATTAATTACTTCTGAAAATCCTGAAGAAGAGAGAGAAACAATCGACATTAGACAGATTGTTTAACCCCTAAAAACAAAAAAGCATAACTAATAAATATGCAAGACTGTGTATATATGTATTTTTATTATTACATATAAACGTAGTAAGAAAGTATATAGTTTTTATCTTTTGGAATCTCCAGAATGAATTAATGAAATTCCCATAGAAACCTATGGTAAATCAATAATCAGATAATGAACAATTCAGATAGCAAACAAAGTCTTGGAATGGATTATGTTCGTTAACCGATCACCCACTGTATTCAAAATCTGGGTACAATAAGGAGAGAGCTGGGCTTCTTAGTGTTTCCCAACCCATGTTGTCCCCACAAGATGAGATATGATATTGTGAGTTATCATCTTTCTTGTAGGTAAGGTTTCTATCTAGATATATGCCAAGGTACTTGGGATTAGCTTCAAATGCTATTTTCTTCCCTAGAAATATATATTTAGTTGGTCAGATGTTTGGGAATTTGTCAAATAGAAATAGCAGTGAATTGTCTTTATGGGGTTCGGGTATGAACTCTGACTACACTGGTAGGTGAAAAAGGAGAGGGAGGAGTAAATGCCTCATTAAAAAACTGGGTATAGCTGGCCTGGCTGTTTATCCCTCCCACCAGGGTTTACTGGTAAAGGTGGCAGATGAACCTATATGGAAGGTCAATGGTTCTTCTACAACCCCAACTATAAGCAGAATCTGTCAACCATGTTAGGTTTGGCTGTAAAAGGTGTCTGCCTCCATGTCAGGAGCAACCTTTATGACGAAGGAAGATAGTAGCCAGCATGGGCCTTCTGGCTAGGCCACCATGGCTGACCAATACCATCCCCAGAAGACAGATTTCATTGAAATTCTTCTTTGGACTTCTGTCTCTTTCAGTTGTGGGTAAACATGGAATTCCTCCTTTAACTGGAACTTTGAAACTTTTAATCTTTTTAAAAAACCATCAAACAGTTTAGATGTTTTAATATTTTATTAAGAAGACTCATTTTGAATTTATTATATCTCTCAGTTCTATATGAGTCTGTTTTAAATAAATTCTAAGTATTTTTGTATTATTTTCAAGATCTAAATGCAGTAATAGCATGTTTTCCTATATAGCAAGATCATGTTGCATTATTAAGAAAATGGAACAGTTACACTGTATTATATTTCATCCATACAAAATACATAATGTAAATTGTTATATAAATATTGTATTTATCCCTCACATAATGGGAAATTAATCCTTACACAATAAAAGTTTTTGATTGATTAATTACATTGTAAAAGAAGTCCGAGTTGAACGTATTTTTTAAAGGAAGTTCCTCAACCATAATTCCAGTTCAAACTGATTTTCTCACAGCAAAAACTGTTAACATCTGAATGTGGTGAAATTTTTTCTCTAATAAGAAAACTTAAGCATATTTACCTTAAAAATACAAATGTAAAAAAAAGAAATTATAAGTGAAAAGATATGCAATTTTCCTCCAAAACCCCGGAAAAAGCTGATCAGAAAAGGAAGTCAGATAGAGACAGAAAGTTGATGTTAAGATGTACATTTGAAAGTTTCATTAATCTAATCTTGGCTTATGTCAATCTGAATCTATTTATTCTTTTTAGAATTCCCAAGAAAACTAGTTCCTCGACAAAAGTATGAGGTGATTATCACTAAATAAATTATTTTATCATCAGTTATTAATATGATGAAACTCAAAATAAATTTTAAATTTAATTTTGACTTTGTTAAAAAATTTTCTAGGATTATAAAACAGAACTTAATTCAGTTAATGTAAATAAATCACAAATCTGATGTACAGTTTATTTTTTTGGTTAAAATGTTGTTCTTTTATAAATATATTGAAGGATATTAAAATGTTTGTATTAAATAAATTAAATTTGCTCTTCTCAAAGCATGATTCTCTAAACTAATGTATTAAAGTGATGATAGATGGCAGAGAAATAAGATACTAGTCTGCTGTCCTGAAGGACCAGATTTTCAAAACTTTTAATGAGTGGTTTGATCAGACATAATTGGTTCTCTTCTCCCCAGTTGGTTGTTCAATGTAAACCTATTGAACCAATAACAGACACAGAAAAGACCTATGTGTGAGAGAATAAAGAGTTAAAGAAAAAAGTATTAAATGTAACCTCTGCCCTTCTATAGATATACCTGTGTTGATGCACTTTATACTAAATTGGTAGTACAAAATATGCATTATCTAGTTTGTTTCCTTACTATAATCATAAAAATGAGGATTTTAAATAATTTAGAAGTGAAGGAAGGATAAAAATTCATAGGGTATGTTTTTTTAATACTCAATGTATCCTCACTTTAGTAAGATGCTAGTTCTGAATCAGGCAGTTGGGACCTTATCAGAGTTGTAGACTATATCCATAAGAGTAAAAAAATTGAAGGATCTGACAACCCATATGTAACCCTTTCCTCCCAAAATCAACTTGTTCAACATGTGGTAGGCTTAACAGAGCATGCAGCACAACTCAGATCACATCCTAAAAATAGTTGGCACAATGGCATTTCCCATGTTTTATGAGCTTTTAACAATATCTATTAAAGTGGAAAACAGTTGACTTTTAGCATTGTTTTGAGAAATAGTTCCAGATTTTTCACTTTTAAATTTACATCATTCTGAAGGTCTCGAAATTTCCAGATGGTGTTCTATATATGGTGAAAGGTCACACGGAGATCATTGGTTTCTTTACTCCTATGGGTATGATGGTCTACAGATCTGATAAAGTCCAAACTGCCTTATTCAGAGTTTACCTTACTTTCCTTATATATATATATATATTCAATCATTGAAATTTTTATATAAGATGATTTTACACTTAAAATTTGGACATTTCATCTAACGAGGTTGTTTATAAAGTCTCAAAAGAAACAGTAATTTCAACGAGACATTCCAATTGTTTTATAGATATATGAATGGAAAGATTAAGCATAATGTTCATTTCTAATTATAGCAATTGTGCTGTATCATTACTTTTAAGTTAACTAACTGCGATCTTTCTCAATTAACGTATCTACGCAATTGTTTTCGTTATAAATTATCTTTAAAAAGCACCGAACACGTTTATCACGAAGCTTAATGTCTTTCTTCTGATAGCAACATTCATCAAAATAAAAGGAAAACGAATGCTAACAGTCACGTAAGATGTTTTGCAGTCAGCGATCGATGCATTTGCTTATTTTAATCACGTTAATCACTTCAAAAATATCCATTTGTTGTTCATAATTCCAGTACTTACAACTCACGTGTTACAAATTTAAAATTGTTTATTTCAATTTGAGCGCCATCTATAATAATATCTCTTTTCCATTAAAAAAAACTTTTTTTTTTTTTTATAAAACTTAAATATTTATATTTAAACAGTTAATTATTATCAATGTCAATTAAAAAAAGAAGAATTAAAGTATTGTATTCAAAAATAACATTTCGAAAGTTGAGTTTTTGTAGTCATTTTCGCCGTTCGGCAGAGGATTAATTAATATTCTTTAGCCCTCTGGTGGAGAGAGCAAACTTATCCGCGGTATCTAAACCAAAAAGATGGAAATTGTAATAGAAAAATTTACAATAATTATTTTTTTAGTAAATATTTGAAGCAAAAAATAATATAATAAATTATATAATGTTAACTTTTGTGTTCGCACCCTGTAGTAGCCAGGGCATATTTTTATGACGCTTACTTCCAATATACAAGTGTGTGTTATTCTTCATTCAGTTCACGTGTTTTGCCTTCTGGCTAAACTTCTCATCAATAATATATATATATTTATTCGCTTTCGTATTCAGTTTTTCAAGAAATTCAAATAAAATTCTCCTTTTACTAAATCATTAAATTCTTTTATGATAATAGCATTTCATCAATTAATTAATTCTAATACAGTATATAATGCTAAAAAACGAAGCGATAATCTGAATAAAGCTATTAAGGAGTAATACAAATTTATATTTCTATATTTTCTTTCCGTATATAACCAATTTCTGTTTTATTCCAGGAATTTTTATGTCTAAGTATACAAAAGAAACATTTTGCAAGTATGAAAATCATGATAATTTGCATCCATATATAAATAGGTAATTCATATTTTTTTTATAATGTAGAAATTAAATCACTAATAACATAAATATAATTTATATTGTTCACTAATAATATTGCTTATAATGAATTTAAATGAATTGATAATCATATAACCCATTTAATAAGAATATACATGAGATTAATCAAAAATAATTTAAGAAACTTGTGATTTGTGTGGAATTTCAATATATTTTTTTAATAAATTTTTTAAAAAGTTTCTTAACATATAAATGGGTTATATAAATGTGAATTTATTTAAACACATTATATGCAATGCCTGTAATGAAATATATGTATAATATTCTTCATACTTTTACATTTAATATCTTACTTTATGCTATATTTTTTATATCATATCTATATGAAATATGTACATTGATACTTTATACCATTACATGTACATTATTTTGATACAGGGAATATGTCATAATAAATATATTTATCATGATATTAAAAAAAGGGAATATATTAGAAGATTTTAGTAATAAAATGATAATATAAAAATTAAATAATAAAATACAAGAAAACATTAACAATAACTATTCTAAACTACACTGTAGACTCCGCTTTTACGACTTAATTGGTTCTTGGAAATCGGTCGTAAAGCGAGCTTTCGTATTTCATTAAGACTCTGTCATGAATAAATTACGTTCCAGAAATTAATTTGAAATGAATAATATGTCACCGAGATAGCCAACAAAAATACAGCATTTCACACGATAATAATAATAAAAAATTTATACCAGTCATAAAAGCGTGAGTCGTAAAGCGGGGTTCTACCGTCAGATCTTTTTAGAACTTCACAGAATCAAACAAATTAGATTCTATAATACATTATTCATGAGAACGATTTATGACACATTTCAATGTCATTTGATACATTAATGCTCCGTATATTCTCTCACGAATACGCTATTATTCTCTGTAACATTGACATTAAGAACAAAGAAGTTTCGAAAAAAATGAAGTGTAAGAAATTAAACAATAAATTCTTACATCTTTCTGTTTCTCTCTTCCAACATTTGGATCCGCCGAACGACTTCTAGGTCCCATTTTACAACTGTTATTCGATCTTTCTTCCGACTGTTAATGTAAATATTTAATTACCTATTTATGTATTACCATAAATTAATCTTATTAGATAAAGTTACTGAAAGTAGAAGATAACTCGCCTATTTAAATAAATTAATAGATTATCGTGATAGTTATTTAATAGTTTATAGTAAGACATTAAACTATTCAATAATCAGAATTGCAAATTCACGGGAATGAATACGTAAAATGTTTGTTTAATAAGGTAGTTGCAAATGTAAATCTCATGGCTTAACCTCTTTAATAATGTACATTGTTATAAGAAGATACTTCAGACCAAATTAGCATTGAATAAAGAATTAACTACGTGTTTTAAATCCCAATTTTCTAGTAGATTTGAAGTATTTTTAAAATCTTGCAGAAAACATGAATTCGATGGATCGATCAAACAGTGAGACCAAAGATCGTGATGAAGAGTTCCTTATTTTCCAGTAAAAACCATTAAATTTAATAGAAAAATAGTAATTGTAAATGTAATTGTATTTATGCATCATTCTTAGGAGCAATGTTAAAAATACTGTTTTTCCCTCTTCTTGTAGTATGTGATTCAAGTAGCCTAATTCTAATTTGGGATCGTCTGTATATTACGTAACGCTACTTTTATACTTTTCAACTACCATTCCATCCCCTGTAACGCTCCGTAACGGTGTCACAAATATTCACCCCCAATTACGTAATGTATATCCTCGATCAACCTCTTAATTGTACTAAGGAATACTTCGTAATACACAGCACGGGATACGAACGTTATATTAATTTATTAATTAAGCGTATAACATACAAAGTAAAGATAAAAACAACACTTCGGAAAAAAAGATGAATAATTCTGTTACTTAAGAGTTGCGGGTCTAGCATTACGTAACGTCTTTATATACACTCTCATCCCTTCTAACACATCGTAACGATTACCTGCGTATCCACTCATCTATATATGTGTTACATAATTTATGGACAGCCCCTTTATGAAAATATATGACATTTCAATTTCTATCATCACTCTTAAGATAAATCTGTTCTGTCTTATGAATCCATAAATTGATCCAGTTGGTAAAATTGTAAATCAAAGCATCTTGTTGTATTTGTACGAGGACTAATTCGATGAAAAGTTTTAGTTTGAGCTATCTTCAATAATGATAAAACTATTCAAATTGTAAAAAGAATCTATTATCTTCATATGAAGATTTAAGTCAACTACAAATTACAGTAACAAAACCAATCAAAGACTGAAGATACTATCGTAAAACGGATCGAACTGAAAGATACCAATGGTATCTTCTTGGACTTTTTTAAAGTTCAGTTCGATTAATTATTAAATTATAACAATTCAATAAAATATATTGATTTGCAGTAACTCCTAACTCAATATCGGATCGATGTAAATCAAATAAAAGCAATTGAATAATAGAACACAACTATAACCACTTAGCCTCANGTAAATCAATAATCAGATAATGAACAATTCGGATAGCAAACAAAGTCTTGGAATGGATTATGTTCGTTAACCGATCACCCACTGTATTCAAAATCTGGGTACAATAAGGAGAGAGCTGGGCTTCTTAGTGTTTCCCAACCCATGTTGTCCCCACAAGAATTGCACAATTCTATAAAGATAATAATGTATTTATAAAAAGTTTAACGTTATGATGTTAATTTATTAAACATAAGGTTTTTAACCCACTGTGTATTAAAAACTGTTACTGCTTTATGCTGCTGATGACTTTTTATTAATTAGTTCATATTTACATGCTAACATTATGACAGTTTCGATGACTAATAGGTGATATTATATCCCTATTCAATTAAAACTGTTTTTCTCAGAGCAAAAACGTTTTTAATTCTAAGAACTGAATTGGATTTATTGAATGTTTAGGAGTTTCCTTAACAAATTTATGACGTATACATACAAACACATTCATTTAATTTTAATTTATGATGTGACTAAGAAAATACTTTAATAACAAAACTTAGATTTTCATTAAGAATGAGAGTCTGTTGGACTTTTCCTACTAAAATAGTAATGAGATCAGTAGATTAAATTTTACACACACATTTTCACTTTTTTTATCGTAAATCATTATATTACTATTAATTGAATTACTTGATGCATCTTTAACAGTGGAATTTTTAAAATAAAAAGAACATTTCAAATGTTTTCAACCCAGTTAACAGGCTGTCTTCAGGTAGGGACAGTCAAAAAAGGAGCCTCTTGTTTGACTGTCCCCATACTAGGATGGCCCATTAACTGGGTCAAAAACATTTGTGCTCTTTCTTAAAAATTTCACTATTAAAGGTGAATTAAGTAATTCAGTTAAGTTACCACAGTGCCTGTATTAGGCACTGTGGTACATCTTTACTTGTATTAAAGAATTTTTTTGTTTTTACTGTAAAAATAGTTGTAAAGCTCTTTCAATTTATTCATCAGTAAAACTCAACATGTATAAATTCAATAATGATGCAATGTGGTAAACAAATAATACTTTCTTCCTTTAACTATTTATGCATTGGATGAGATAAATTACAATATATTTACAAAACTATGTACAGATCCCTATACAACAAAGGAAAAATTATGTATCCATGATTTGGCATCATCTGAGATGTGATGTACTTCCTCAACAGGCCTTGGGAAGCCATAGATAGGACAATCAGTTGCTAGGTGTATCACAGTCTGGAAGGATCCACATTCAAATTGAAGGGTCTATTGATTGCTGCCATTTATTGAGATATTCTAAGCAACCACAATTAGTCCTTACTCTGTTAAGAGTTGTCCATGAATTTCTTGGGAGACTGAATCCTGGTTGCCTCTTTGTAGGGTCAAGAATTGGGCATTTGTTGGTAAAAGTCAAGGGAATTCCATTCCTTCTTCTATGCTATAGATATGTCGAATTGTGTTTCTTGCAATATTTTACCTTCTTTCCATATTGGTTTCCTTGATTTTAGTCTTTCCTTGGGATGCAGGAGGTTTCTGATAGGGTGTTATTCATTTTCTATGATTTTATTATATTCTTTTAATGTGAAGACTTTTAAGAGAGGGGAGGGATCTTTGACGATATTAGGAGTTGAACAGAGTGTTGAAGAAACTGTCCTCATTATTTTGTTCAGTTCTACATCAATCAACTTTGTGTATGCACTTCTGTTCCAAATTGCAGCACAGTACAGTGGGTGATCGGTTAATGAACAGATTGGATAATGAACACTTACGTGAAAGATTTTTATGATCGGACAACAAACACATGTTCGGATAACGAACACTTCACTGAACAAACATAAAAAGAAGTGATGAAAATAGCAAATACCGATTGATTTTCCCTTGTCTTCAGGTAACAATTCGAAACTTTTTGGAGTGAGGGAGACGTCGACATCGACGCTCAACCCGATATATACTGATCAGACAGTATTCCTCCAACTTTGAAATACTCCCTCGTAATTCCAGCCTTTTATTTTTCAGACAGAAACAATTCTTTTATAGTATTCGCGAGACTGTCGGGTGGGCACTCGTTAAGTTTTGCGTCAGTTTTTATTTTCGAAAGATGAGAGTATAATAGCAAAGTTATAGATTGGGCAGAAGATGTCTGATGTTGCTGGGCAGTATGGTTTGAACAAATCTACAGTAGGGCACAGTTCAATCTTATCTAAGAAAGGTACTGTATAATCAAGAAGACTCAAGCAGCTAAAGGAGTAACAAAAATCACATCTGAGAAATAAAGAATGATGAAGAGCTCATAATGTAACCAGAAACGGACCTGACGACAGAAGAACGCCAAGAACCTTTCAATGAAGAACACCAAGAAACTCAGCGAGATATGTTTTATTCTGAAAAAGAGGATTAATGCCGATATCTGCTATTAATTAAAGATCTTTTGAAGAAGTGGGAATGTCAGATTGACGGTCTTAGAATTGCATACAAACCAGGTTAAGGTTAACAGGCTTGGGGATTTCTACAATTACAATGCTATTAATTACTTCTGAAAATCCTGAAGAAGAGAGAGAAACAATCGACATTAGACAGATTGTTTAACCCCTAAAAACAAAAAAGCATAACTAATAAATATGCAAGACTGTGTATATATGTATTTTTATTATTACATATAAACGTAGTAAGAAAGTATATAGTTTTTATCTTTTGGAATCTCCAGAATGAATTAATGAAATTCCCATAGAAACCTATGGTAAATCAATAATCAGATAATGAACAATTCGGATAGCAAACAAAGTCTTGGAATGGATTATGTTCGTTAACCGATCACCCACTGTATTCAAAATCTGGGTACAATAAGGAGAGAGCTGGGCTTCTTAGTGTTTCCCAACCCATGTTGTCCCCACAAGATGAGATATGATATTGTGAGTTATCATCTTTCTTGTAGGTAAGGTTTCTATCTAGATATATGCCAAGGTACTTGGGATTAGCTTCAAATGCTATTTTCTTCCCTAGAAATATATATTTAGTTGGTCAGATGTTTGGGAATTTGTCAAATAGAAATAGCAGTGAATTGTCTTTATGGGGTTCGGGTATGAACTCTGCCTACACTGGTAGGTGAAAAAGGAGAGGGAGGAGTAAATGCCTCATTAAAAAACTGGGTATAGCTGGCCTGGCTGTTTATCCCTCCCACCAGGGTTTACTGGTAAAGGTGGCAGATGAACCTATATGGAAGGTCAATGGCTCTTCTACAACCCCAACTATAAGCAGAATCTGTCAACCATGTTAGGTTTGGCTGTAAAAGGTGTCTGCCTCCATGTCAGGAGCAACCTTTATGACGAAGGAAGATAGTAGCCAGCATGGGCCTTCTGGCTAGGCCACCATGGCTGACCAATACCATCCCCAGAAGACAGATTTCATTGAAATTCTTCTTTGGACTTCTGTCTCTTTCAGTTGTGGGTAAACATGGAATTCCTCCTTTAACTGGAACTTTGAAACTTTTAATCTTTTTAAAAAACCATCAAACAGTTTAGATGTTTTAATATTTTATTAAGAAGACTCATTTTGAATTTATTATATCTCTCAGTTCTATATGAGTCTGTTTTAAATAAATTCTAAGTATTTTTGTATTATTTTCAAGATCTAAATGCAGTAATAGCTTGTTTTCCTATATAGCAAGATCATGTTGCATTATTAAGAAAATGGAACAGTTACACTGTATTATATTTCATCCATACAAAATACATAATGTAAATTGTTATATAAATATTGTATTTATCCCTCACATAATGGGAAATTAATCCTTACACAATAAAAGTTTTTGATTGATTAATTACATTGTAAAAGAAGTCCGAGTTGAACGTATTTTTTAAAGGAAGTTCCTAAACCATAATTCCAGTTCAAACTGATTTTCTCACAGCAAAAACTGTTAACATCTGAATGTGGTGAAATTTTTTCTCTAATAAGAAAACTTAAGCATATTTACCTTAAAAATACAAATGTAAAAAAAAGAAATTATAAGTGAAAAGATATGCAATTTTCCTCCAAAACCCCGGAAAAAGCTGATCAGAAAAGGAAGTCAGATAGAGACAGAAAGTTGATGTTAAGATGTACATTTGAAAGTTTCATTAATCTAATCTTGGCTTATGTCAATCTGAATCTATTTATTCTTTTTAGAATTCCCAAGAAAACTAGTTCCTCGACAAAAGTATGAGGTGATTATCACTAAATAAATTATTTTATCATCAGTTATTAATATGATGAAACTCAAAATAAATTTTAAATTTAATTTTGACTTTGTTAAAAAATTTTCTAGGATTATAAAACAGAACTTAATTCAGTTAATGTAAATAAATCACAAATCTGATGTACAGTTTATTTTTTGGTTAAAATGTTGTTCTTTTATAAATATATTGAAGGATATTAAAATGTTTGTATTAAATAAATTAAATTTGCTCTTCTCAAAGCATGATTCTCTAAACTAATGTATTAAAGTGATGATAGATGGCAGAGAAATAAGATACTAGTCTGCTGTCCTGAAGGACCAGATTTTCAAAACTTTTAATGAGTGGTTTGATCAGACATAATTGGTTCTCTTCTCCCCAGTTGGTTGTTCAATGTAAACCTATTGAACCAATAACAGACACAAAAAAGACCTATGTGTGAGAGAATAAAGAGTTAAAGAAAAAAGTATTAAATGTAACCTCTGCCCTTCTATAGATATACCTGTGTTGATGCACTTTATACTAAATTGGTAGTACAAAATATGCATTATCTAGTTTGTTTCCTTACTATAATCATAAAAATGAGGATTTTAAATAATTTAGAAGTGAAGGAAGGATAAAAATTCATAGGGTTATGTTTTTTTAATACTCAATGTATCCTCACTTTAGTAAGATGCTAGTTCTGAATCAGGCAGTTGGGACCTTATCAGAGTTGTAGACTATATCCATAAGAGTAAAAAAATTGAAGGATCTGACAACCCATATGTAACCCTTTCCTTCCAAAATCAACTTGTTCAACATGTGGTAGGCTTAACAGAGCATGCAGCACAACTCAGATCACATCCTAAAAATAGTTGGCACAATGGCATTTCTCATGTTTTATGAGCTTTTAACAATATCTATTAAAGTGGAAAACTGTTGACTTTTAGCATTGTTTTGAGAAATAGTTCCAGATTTTTCACTTTTAAATTTACCTCATTCTGAAGGTCTCGAAATTTCCAGATGGTGTTCTATATATGGTGAAGGGTCACACGGAGTTCATTGGTTTCTTTACTCCTATGGGTATGATGGTCTACAGATCTGATAAAGTCCAAACTGCCTTATTCAGAGTTTACCTTACTTCCCTTATATATATATTCAATCATTGAAATTCTTATATAAGATGATTTTACACTTAAAATTTGGACATTTCATCTAACGAGGTTGTTTATAAAGTCTCAAAAGAAACAGTAATTTCAACGAGACATTCCAATTGTGTTTTATAGATATATGAATGGAAAGATTAAGCATAATGTTCATTTCTAATTATAGCAATTGTGCTGTATCATTACTTTTAAGTTAACTAACTGCGATCTTTCTCAATTAACGTATCTACGCAATTGTTTTCGTTATAAATTATCTTTAAAAAGCACCGAACACGTTTATCACGAAGCTTAATGTCTTTCTTCTGATAGCAACATTCATCAAAATAAAAGGAAAACGAATGCTAACAGTCACGTAAGATGTTTTGCAGTCAGCGATCGATGCATTTGCTTATTTTAATCACGTTAATCACTTCAAAAATATCCATTTGTTGTTCATAATTCCAGTACTTACAACTCACGTGTTACAAATTTAAAATTGTTTATTTCAATTTGAGCGCCATCTATAATAATATCTCTTTTCCATTAAAAAAAAACTTTTTTTTATAAAACTTAAATATTTATATTTAAACAGTTAATTATTATCAATGTTAATTAAAAAAAAGAAGAATTAAAGTATTGTATTCAAAAATAACATTTCGAAAGTTGAGTTTTTGTAGTCATTTTCGCCGTTCGGCAGAGGATTAATTAATATTCTTTAGCCCTCTGGTGGAGAGAGCAAACTTATCCGCGGTATCTAAACCAAAAAGATGGAAATTGTAATAGAAAAATTTACAATAATTATTTTTTTAGTAAATATTTGAAGCAAAAAATAATATAATAAATTATATAATGTTAACTTTTGTGTTCGCACCCTGTAGTAGCCAGGGCATATTTTTATGACGCTTACTTCCAATATACAAGTGTGTGTTATTCTTCATTCAGTTCACGTGTTTTGCCTTCTGGCTAAACTTCTCATCAATAATATATATATATTTATTCGCTTTCGTATTCAGTTTTTCAAGAAATTCAAATAAAATTCTCCTTTTACTAAATCATTAAATTCTTTTATGGTAATAGTATTTCATCAATTAATTAATTCTAAAACAGTATATAATGCTAAAAACGAAGCGATAATCTGAATAAAGCTATTAAGGAGTAATACAAATTTATATTTCTATATTTTCTTTCCGTATATAACCAATTTCTGTTTTATTCCAGGAATTTTTATGTCTAAGTATACAAAAGAAACATTTTGCAAGTATGAAAATCATGATAATTTGCATCCATATATAAATAGGTAATTCATATTTTTTTTATAATGTAGAAATTAAATCACTAATAACATAAATATAATTTATATTGTTCACTAATAATATTGCTTATAATGAATTTAAATGAATTGATAATCATATAACCCATTTAATAAGAATATACATGAGATTAATCAAAAATAATTTAAGAAACTTGTGATTTGTGTGGAATTTCAATATATTTTTTTAATAAATTTTTTAAAAAGTTTCTTAACATATAAATGGGTTATATAAATGTGAATTTATTTAAACACATTATATGCAATGCCTGTAATGAAATATATGTATAATATTCTTCATACTTTTACATTTAATATCTTACTTTATGCTATATTTTTTATATCATATCTATATGAAATATGTACATTGATACTTTATACCATTACATGTACATTATTTTGATACAGGGAATATGTCATAATAAATATATTTATCATGATATTAAAAAAAGGGAATATATTAGAAGATTTTAGTAATAAAATGATAATATAAAAATTAAATAATAAAATACAAGAAAGCATTAACAATAACTATTCTAGACTACACTGTAGACCCCGCTTTTACGACTTAATTGGTTCTTGGAAATCGGTCGTAAAGCGAGCCTTCGTATTTCATTAAGACTCTGTCATGAATAAATTACGTTCCAGAAATTAATTTGAAATGAATAATATGTCACCGAGATAGCCAACAAAAATACAGTATTTCACACGATAATAATAATAAAAAATTTATACCAGTCATAAAAGCGTGAGTCGTAAAGCGGGGTTCTACCGTCAGATCTTTTTAGAACTTCACAGAATCAAACAAATTAGATTCTATAATACATTATTCATGAGAACGATTTATGACACATTTCAATGTCATTTGATACATTAATGCTCCGTATATTCTCTCACGAATACGCTATTATTCTCTGTAACATTGACATTAAGAACAAAGAAGTTTCGAAAAAAATGAAGTGTAAGAAATTAAACAATAAATTCTTACATCTTTCTGTTTCTCTCTTCCAACATTTGGATCCGCCGAACGACTTCTAGGTCCCATTTTACAACTGTTATTCGATCTTTCTTCCGACTGTTAATGTAAATATTTAATTACCTATTTATGTATTACCATAAATTAATCTTATTAGATAAAGTTACTGAAAGTAGAAGATAACTCGCCTATTTAAATAAATTAATAGATTATCGTGATAGTTATTTAATAGTTTATAGTAAGACATTAAACTATTCAATAATCAGAATTGCAAATTCACGGGAATGAATACGTAAAATGTTTGTTTAATAAGGTAGTTGCAAATGTAAATCTCATGGCTTAACCTCTTTAATAATGTACATTGTTATAAGAAGATACTTCAGACCAAATTAGCATTGAATAAAGAATTAACTACGTGTTTTAAATCCCAATTTTCTAGTAGATTTGAAGTATTTTTAAAATCTTGCAGAAAACATGAATTCGATGGATCGATCAAACAGTGAGACCAAAGATCGTGATGAAGAGTTCCTTATTTTCCAGTAAAAACCATTAAATTTAATAGAAAAATAGTAATTGTAAATGTAATTGTATTTATGCATCATTCTTAGGAGCAATGTTAAAAATACTGTTTTTCCCTCTTCTTGTAGTATGTGATTCAAGTAGCCTAATTCTAATTTGGGATCGTCTGTATATTACGTAACGCTACTTTTATACTTTTCAACTACCATTCCATCCCCTGTAACGCTCCGTAACGGTGTCACAAATATTCACCCCCAATTACGTAATGTATATCCTCGATCAACCTCTTAATTGTACTAAGGAATACTTCGTAATACACAGCACGGGATACGAACGTTATATTAATTTATTAATTAAGCGTATAACATACAAAGTAAAGATAAAAACAACACTTCGGAAAAAAAGATGAATAATTCTGTTACTTAAGAGTTGCGGGTCTAGCATTACGTAACGTCTTTATATACACTCTCATCCCTTCTAACACATCGTAACGATTACCTGCGTATCCACTCATCTATATATGTGTTACATAATTTATGGACAGCCCCTTTATGAAAATATATGACATTTCAATTTCTATCATCACTCTTAAGATAAATCTGTTCTGTCTTATGAATCCATAAATTGATCCAGTTGGTAAAATTGTAAATCAAAGCATCTTGTTGTATTTGTACGAGGACTAATTCGATGAAAAGTTTTAGTTTGAGCTATCTTCAATAATGATAAAACTATTCAAATTGTAAAAAGAATCTATTATCTTCATATGAAGATTTAAGTCAACTACAAATTACAGTAACAAAACCAATCAAAGACTGAAGATACTATCGTAAAACGGATCGAACTGAAAGATACCAATGGTATCTTCTTGGACTTTTTTAAAGTTCAGTTCGATTAATTATTAAATTATAACAATTCAATAAAATATATTGATTTGCAGTAACTCCTAACTCAATATCGGATCGATGTAAATCAAATAAAAGCAATTGAATAATAGAACACAACTATAACCACTTAGCCTCAATAATCTCTCATACGAAACTAATTTGTAATTCATTAACTATATTTTTAAAAAAATATATTAACAGATAATATTTTTCTATATTATCTGTTAATATATTTTTTTGAGCACTTAATACGTTACAAAAAGTCAGTAAAGAGTTCGGGTTCCAGTTCTGGATGCCTAGACGCGAGCGTATTACAAAATTGTTAGTGAGACAATTGTCTGAACGGTTTTGTACAAGGTGATATCTTTCAATACACTCGTTTGCTAGGCATATTTGCGACTAGGCATTCGGTCGGCTGAGAAATTTTCTTGAATGGGTTAATCTTTTGTAATTACGCGAGCGTATTACAAAATTGTTAGTGAGACAATTGTCTGAACGGTTTTGTACAAGGTGATATCTTTCAATACACTCGTTTGCTAGGCATATTTGCGACTAGGCATTCGGTCGGCTGAGAAATTTTCTTGAATGGGTTAATCTGGCCCCATCCCTCAATACCCGCTAGTCCCTTTGTGGGCCTGACTGAACCTATAACGGGTATGGAAAGATGCCCTCTTAGTGACTGCGGAGCGAAGAAATTAAAATTGAAAAAAAACCAACATTTAAAGAAAGGAATAATTTAGAATTTATTTAAAGAAATTCATTTATGGTACTCACTCTTGCTCTAATATCCACATGATCTCTAGCGTATTGTAAAGTTGGTATATTGAAATTTATGCTTTCCACAAATTTTGAACCGATTCCTTCGTGTTTCAATACTTGATGTGTCCGATATGCCAGGTCCGGATATTTTTTCTTCCTCGATAAAATTGGTTCCATCAAAGCCAAAGCAGCTTTAAATATTTAAAAGAAAAATAATTATAATATTTAAACTAAATATCACTAAAAAAAACTAACATTAAAATTATAAATTATGGTATATATACTGTATATACTATCCAATATAATATAAATCCAATATATACTGTATAATACGTAATAATATAATATAAACTGTTCCTGCAAGAAGAACTTTGAACTAGTTCTTTAGATGGATTTATTATCAATGATATGGCTTTCTGAGTTCAATTATCCATTTTATACACTCGAATAGCGTATGAAAGAGATATTAATTATTCTTACGTTATTTTTAAAAATAACACATTAAATGCTTAAATATTTCTGAAGTTTCAAAAGTTTTCCATTATTAAATCAGATAAAAGGAAGAGAAATTTGCATATTTACTCCTCCTCCGCTGACATCACGAGCACGTGTTTACACTCGCTAGCAAATCAGAATCGATTATTTTAAATTTGATTTCTAAGCAACTAACTTTACTCTGAGTACCGAACCAAAAAATTCAAATAAATTTTGTTTTTTGTTTAATAATTATTGAAAATTATAGGAAAATATTACATTTTATAAATATAACACAATTATATTTAAAATACGTTTATAAAACAGCAGGTTTTTTTTTGTTAATTAAATTAAAGTGTATATATAGGATGACCCAAAAGTCAGCTAACCAAATTAAGCAGCCTTACATAAATTTTGGGCTAATCTATATAATATATTTTTGAAAGTAAGTAAAGAATTAAGGAAATTTTTATTTAAAAAAAGGCATGTATCACGTACAAAATGGATTTTTATGTATTCTATATTATTCATTCATTAAAAAATTCCCTCCAAATTATGATATTCAATAGTTGAAAGTGAATGAGACAACTGAAATTTTGTTATAAACTAAAATCATTGAAAAATGACCAATATTTGGTTTAAATTTTTAATTATTATTAATTTTGAAACTAAAAAGTATATTTAAAAAAGTAGCGGTGGACGATTGGTATTGATGGAATAAGATAATACAACACAAGGGCGATCTGCGAAGAGGAATGATGCCACCCAGAAGGATTGTCTATATGTAAGACATGTGAAGAAAGCCCAGAAAACTATACGTGGTCGGTTCGTTGGGAAGGGCAAATCCACGAACAACTACTAATGTTTAGTGGTTTTATCCACGAGGGCCTCCATGGATATCTCAAAAAGTGCACATTGTAACAATACACACGTGCATGCAGAATAAAGTGGAGACGTTCGGACTGGTGTACATACACTACTTGAAAGAGAAGTTGAAAGAAGATTACGAAGAAAAGTTAAAAAAATACTTGAATGACATCAATGAAAAGATATTTCATTGTGTGACGAAACAATTTACTTTGAAAAGGATTAGAATGAAATAAGGTAATGTAACACTTGGGCGATTTGCCAAGTGCCTTTCGGGAGGACTTTCTACAGTAAACTAGTCCTAGCTAGGTGTTAGACATATGAAGAGACGATGTTCAACGATTTTACCCACTCGGTTATACTATGAAAAGAAAAATGTTAAGAAATTAGCACGCTAATCTTCCCTCAAACTCGTGGCTTGAGAGGGAAAAGAAGAAAAATGGAAATTTTTGAAAGAATATATTTGTTTTTTTAAATAATATTTCTAATATAATGAAAAATGAAATTTAATATTGCAAGAAAATGTCATTAAGAATGCGCCAAGTTAAAAAAAATAACCGAAAAGTTTTGATTTCTCAACGCTTAAAATGGATTATGCTATTGATCATTTTCATTCCATCTCGAAGAAATATAATTTTATCAAACATAATTGGCGCTATTAAACTTCAAATTCCTTTTATTATTGATATTAATCGGAATTTTTCTTTAGATAAGATATTGATTCATGTAACAGATTCTGATAATGACCAAAATTGAATTACATCAATGGATTATGGCTTTTGTAAGTAACATGTTTTATCGACAACGCTCACAATTATGAATTATATGTCCTCGACACTCGTAAAGTTATTGTTTAGTTTTTTTTTAGAAATCATTGATTAATTTTAGAAATAGTTCTTCAGCCTCTTAAAAGATTAATCCTTGAAGCAGCTCTATGAACTACATGACTCGGGCGCTTATATCTATGAGCTCCTTAGGCGCGATCCCGCAATCAGTATTTAATCCTTGAAGGATTCTGTAACTTTTCGACTTTGACAAGGAGATTTTTAAATTCTGAAGGACTTTGAACTGGGAAAAGTTATTTGGTAGATAATCCTATTGTAAGATCCATTGTGCACCGTTGTTCCCATTAATCCTCTATGAGTTCTTCGCCTTCTTAACAGATTAAATAGCAGTTAAATTATAAGGCACCGTATGAGCTTCTTGACTTTGGACAAGTATCTTCATGGACTATCAAGTTTCTAGGATGAATTCACTATGAGCTCTTGAGCTTGGAGGATTAATTTAGTAATGAATCTCAAGGACCTCTGCGAACTCCTGGGCTTCCTAAAAAATTAATTTGGTAATTAATCCTTGAAGGATCTCTATGGGCTCTTGACCTTCTTGGAGGTTTCATTTTGTAATGAATCGCAAGGATTTCTATAAACTCCTATGCTAATTAATCCTCGAAGATTTCCTTGGGCTAACGTAGTTAATTTAATCTAGATCAACTTAAGATAAAATTAACGAGAGCAATAAATAAACTTAGGAACTACAAAAATTTATATTACTTTAAGGATTTTAGTAGTTTTATATGGTTTTAACGCTGAACTAACTTCACCATTGATTTATAAGACATAAAATTACACATTTGAAAATTTAATTAACGTAACTAACGACAGAAAAATGTTATTTTGTAGGAATAAAATGTTATTGTTAGCCTTTAGATGAGAGTGAAAGTTTTAAATTAAGGTAATATCGATCCACGTGACTTAATTGATTCACGCGTTATAGTAAATTATTGTTCGAATTGTCTCGTCAAAGTTTGTAAATGCTTCCATTCCAATTTACATATTCTATTTAAAATGAATAAAACAGCAATATTTTGCTAACGAGAAGAGTTCAAAGTTTACGTTAACTTTTCCTAAGCTTCTCATAAACATATACACATTCCTTTTTCATGGAAGTTCCTTCCCTTTTGTGCTTATTGCATAGAACTTAACGACGCGATAAGGATAAGAGAGTGGTCCAAAAGTCAGTTAACCATTGTGGATATTAAACTACTGTCTTTTTTAAAATACTTGAACAATTTTTGCAAAGTTAAGTACTTAAATAAGATAGAAATTTGGCATTCATGTTTGGTTAACGGACTTTTGGACCACCCTATAGAGTTTAGACCAGTGCATTGAACAAGTTTTAGTTTTTTTTAAGTACCTGTCAATTATTAATTCGTAGATACTGACAGGTTTTCCTATTTAAATTTTAAGAAAAATCTTCCACCAGATTTTATAAGAGGGGGAAAAGCACGAAAGTTTAAAGTTTATGCAAATTTATCTAAAATATAATTTTAGAAGGGGGAGGGGAAATGTCCGCGAAGGAATGAAACCATCGGATTCACGAGAAATGTTTAATTTGAACGATGAGCAAAGCCGAACCTTCTGGTAATATCGATATCCAATATTTACTTCTTCACATTAAAGGTATTGACAGATACACGTGACTGAATCGTGTGCCGAATGGGAAAAAATATGATCGATTGTTTCGTGTTGGAATGTGTCTTGAACACTATTGATGCGTGACAGATGCATAAAGTACAGTACATCATCCGATAGTGGATATTGGCAAACATTTGATTCCGTATGTAAAAAAAAACATTCAAAATTTCGATCGAATTCTGCTGGATTTCTAAAAGAATATCCTGGATACAATTCAAGCTTTCGCATGGAAGCAAATAAGTGAAAGTGGGTCATATGATAGAGAATGTGAGATTTGTTGACAGAATAAAGAAGATTTGTTGACAGAATAAAGAAAATCTTCACTTAATTCTATCAGTGAATCTTCTATGAATATTCATTTGTTTCCATCAATAAAGATGCTTACAAATTTTATTATTAATTAAAGATAAATGAAGTGTTATCCATTGGCGCGTTATCCTATGAGCAAAAAAGTCAATTGCCTGAAGCCTCATCAACAGAGGACCCCAAACCAATCTTTTATAATAAAACATTCTCTCCAAAAACTTCTCCGAAGAAAAATGCCTGAAGTCAACACCCTACATGGGGCTTCCTAATTCAAATTTGCCTGAAGCCATAAAGCAACCACTGGTATCTTCTATGAAGATCCACTTCATCGCTTTATCATTGAATACACATGACTCTAATATGAAGATTCGGATAAATTCAAAGAAATTTGAATTTAGAAAGAAAAAGTTTAAAGAAGTTAGCATATTTTTCTTAAAAAATTTTAATTTTGTGTAGAATTCTAATAAAAATTCGAGCTTCAAGAAATTTCTGTAAAATGAAAAAAACATTTCAGTGAAAACATCAATTATTTTATTTTATAATAATAAAATTGTATGATAAATATAATAATCTGTTTTATATCACTTCAAATATCGTCTTTAAAACATGTGATAAATGCGTTGATGCCACTCGATGCCGATCCATTGAAGATGGGATGCATGGCGAGGCAGATTTGCTGATAACTTCCGTTTCCGGTATTGGATTATTCCGAAATCGATCAGCATCATTCAAGTGAATACAATGGATAATTTGACATCATTTCAACTCGATAATTATAGTAGCTACATTGGTTCATCAAGGACTTGTACCGTACAGAACACACACATCTCACGTTTCATGAGCCACAGCATGAAAAGTATGGCTTATGATGGAGAGTTGAATGTGATGTTGTGTTCTGATCCTAGAAAAACGTTATAGAAACATCAATCTATATATTTTTATACCCATAAAATGTTTTTGTATTGGGTAGAAGCTATCTTTAATCAAAATGAATCCCGGATGGAGTAGAGAACACCAAGCTGAAATCTCATTTTTACAAGAACCCGTACTTCGATAAACGGATGAAATGATGGAAAAACGCAAGAAAAATAGTAGAATATTTTTAATTTAATCCTTTATATCTAATTAACAGAATAACACTGAATGAGAAGGTTCATTCTTTACCATTTTCAACCACTTGCAGTTTCAATGTTGCATGACGTAGTGATTTCACAGAAAACACGATATCACGTTACACTAAATGGAGTGAACCTGCTTTAGATGGAACCTGTGTGAAAACATGGCCTAGTGATTTCACAGAAGCCATATTCTCTATTAAGAATACCATATAAACTATCCAAACACGATGCCACGCTGAGGATGCTGTTGATTTTCAACATGGCTTCTATAAATGATATTGGTTTTTGTGTTTTAAAATTAAATTACCAAATAAAAGAGAGAATTTAATTTTCAAATATTTCGTTTAATATTTAATTTTTATGTATATAAAAGCTAATTTTGTTTTATAAAACATATGTCCATGAATACATTGCAGAATTTCTTGTCCTATGGCAGAACCACATAAAATTTTGCTTTTAGATATCAAGAAATTGCCAAAATACGTATAAATAAATAATTTTTAGTGATTAAATGGCTAAATTCTCCATAAATTAAACTTTTATTTATAAAATTATTTAATATTTCCATTAATTGTAGAGCAGATTTTGTTCTTCATACGCATGAAAGGACGATTGAAATACGTACTTTAGTGTGGAATTTGATATAAATCATGACGAATTTATAAGTAAAACGATTAAATATAATAAAATAGTAAATTTAAATTGAATTAATACATTGCAAATCAAACAAATTAACGTAAACAATTTTAAATGTCGAAACGGAAAATTTAGTTTCGCACCGTGCACTTCTTCCATGTTGAAAAGAAATGCGACACAGGCACGCCCACGTGAACTTTTATATTGTTTTAAGAGCGTATCTTTCAAAAATTACAAAAAATATACGACATAAAAATCATTTACCTTCATTAATCTGTATTCTAGTTATTGTAAAGGCATTAAATTAACTCAAATATACATTAAAAAAAAATACTTGACACATATAACACAGACAGACATTCAGGACGTATTCTAAGATGTTTAGCCTTTAAGAAAGAAGATATTTGCCGGTTTTAATAGATTTTGTTTTAGAATTTGTTACGTTAATTTCTTACTAACAATACTAACTTTTTATACACCTTACGTGACTGACTTAAATTCTCTGTGATGTAAGCTGTAAGAAATTGTAAAATACTGTAAAAAAAAATAGAAATTATTGTACTTTTTTACTTCGGAAGTGTTCTTATAAATAAATTATCAAAAAGTATTTTAAAATATTTAGATTTTTGAGTGTCAAATTCGAGCCATTCTAATGATCAACTGGAGCAATTTATATAGACCTATATATTAGATTTTTTAAATATTTTAAAATTATTTTTAATATTAGGGGACTTAATTACTATTTTTAGAATCTGTTTTAGGTGTAGGAGTCTGCGGAAAACTTCCAATTTAAGTATAGGGATATATGGACTTTCTACATAATTTAAGCGATCAGAAATTGTAAAATAAAGTTAAAAATACAATTAATAAAAATTAAATTATTATATATATATTTTTTATTTTGAAAGAGTTCCTATAAAGAAATTTTTAGAAAAAAATCCGAAAAAATAGTTTAAAAATTTAAGATTTTCGCTCATGAAAATGTAGTATTTCTAATTATTAGTTATAATGCTATTAAAATAATTTTTTTCACGTTTTATGAACATATTTCAGGTGTTTTTAAATCTCTATTATATTTTTTCCTATACAGGTGGACCTTATTGCTATTTTTAGATGTTTGTAGCCAGAGAAGAGCGTTTAAATCATTAATTTAACCTTTAGAGATGTATGGAGTGATGTATAATCCGCAGTCACGAAACTATAAGCATTGGAAATTTATAACATAAATTCGTAAGAAAATTCTTTATTATATGTTAAAATTTTATATCATTTAATTTTTTAGATAGGAAACGTCTGTAGGGCGATTCTAAAGTCAGTTAACCGTTGCAAAGACCATTTTGTAAAGAAAAACACACGTTTTTTTAAATAGATTCCTGCTGAAAAACGTATCCGGACACATAGAACACGGTTAACTAACTTTTGGACCACTTTTATACATAGATATTTAAGAGTAAACAAGTAAATGTATTTAAATATAAACGAAGGCGTAGCTAAGAAAAACATTTTAAAAAAATATATAATTTATATTTCAAGATTTCGATAATATTTTATATAAAAATAGTATAATTAAGATGTGCTTTTGACGAATTTAATTAGGCATTTACATTAATTAATCGCAGCTGTAAAGCGTAAAAGTCTAATTTCTTCTCGTTTATACGAACGAATTAAACGTTAGAAAATTTGCTTAATTTACAGTAAAAAAAAGCTTAATAAATACATTTTACATCTTTAAAATAAATATTAATACTTATTTTAAGTAATATTTTCATGTAAAAAAAAAAGATTTCCTACGTCCCTCTTTATGGATTTTTAATGGATGGTTTTTTTGATAAGTAGGTGTGATTTAGATCCAGATATAATTTTAAATAAGGAAGATGCACTATCAAACATATTCCATTGTCAGTTACATAATTATTTTAATGACATCCTCTCGTTAACAACAATCCTTGATAGAAATGGCGTCAGTTCGACTGTCAGCAATCCAAACATATACTAACCTTAACAACGATCGATCTTAACTAAAGCATACATTAGCGCTTTTTTTTTAAAATATTGTTATACACCGAAATTCTTAAAGCAAATTTAATTATATTTACACGCCTTTGTAAGATATTTGCTTAAATTTAACTCAGAAAGAGTAATCATGTCATAAAGCGCACACAAGTAGTGAAAACTCGATATAACGAACACTCAACGTACTGAACTAAATCACTCTCTCTATATAAAAGAGTAGGAAGGAGCAACGAAATTATTCACTGTATCGAAATTTCGCTATATAGAGTGGTCACTATATCAGCATTATCTTCATTATTGTGTAATGTGAGGTGTATAATTGACGTAACGATAATAAACTTACTGAACAGTAGAAAAATCGCAGTGGGGTTCCTAAATGTGTTACCAACAATGGAGCTGTTTAAGACTCTGAAACACTATACCATATACATGCTATAACACTACACAACACGCTGGTCAGTAGTACTTTTACATACAAAACAGAATTTAAACTGCAATCTATGGATTAATTGTGTTCAGTATTGTTTTCTCGTGCCTCGTTCACGCTTTTTAACACATCGAACAATGCAGGTATGGGTTTACATATTAAACAGAACGTTATTAATTAGTATATATATATTATTGCATGCCACGCATACAGATGATAACTCACTTTATGTATCGAAATATTCGGTCTACTGAATAGAAATACTTTCAGTAGAAATGTATATGGGGGTTTGAGTTTTAAAAAAATAGAAGAAAATCTATACATATAATTATGAATTTGTGAAATAATGTTTTATAAATTAAACATAAGGTTTTTAGATGTATTGAGGAAATAATTAAGCCCGAAGAAAAAGTCAGGAAGTGTTCATGAAAGAGATTTTAGTACAGGAAGCCAGCACTTGGGATCTGTATAAAAATAATGTTTCCATTAGAGATAGAAAGACAATGACTTCACAAAGAAGCTTACAAAAGGGATTTGGATTGAATTGATGGGATAAGTAACGCAACACACGGGGAATCCTCCATTGGAATTGCCTACAGGAAGGATTTCTTTAAACCAGGAAACTGGTCCTCATTTTGGTGTTAGACACGTGAAGAAAACCCGGAAAACTCCAGCCTAATTATTAGGTGCCAACTTACCACCAGTGTTTAGTGGTTTTATCCACTCGGCCACTGGCAGGCTCACGACAGGAGGGAAGATAATGATTGTACAGAAAAGCCCACGGGAGAAAACAATGATTCCACTTAAGAACTGACAGCAGGAAAGATAGCAACTTCACAGAGAATCCCAAAGAGTAGAAGATAATGATTCCACAGATAAGAATTTAAGGTTCACGAATCCCTCTTCTCCATGAAATCCATGAGTTTCAAAGAAGTTTTTCATAAGATTTGACTTATGCTATACACAATTTGAATTTTTATTATATTAAAATTAAATTTATAAANAGTTCCTTTTCTTCTTACATCTTTTGATTTAAAATGATAATTTTAAAAAATAAATTTAAAAATATTAAATTATGAAGTAATTTTAATAATTTTAAAATTTGAAATTTATAAATTTTTAAATTAAATAAAAAAATAAAAAAATTTTATTGAAAACCTTAAAAAAAATGTAATTTAATTAGAATTTTCAAACCCAATTAATTTCAATAAATAAATTTTTCTACAATAAGAAAAATCAATTGAAATCTAATGAAGTGCAATATAGATTTGTTGAGATTAAATAAAATTATAAATTTTAATCGATTTTCTCATAATATTCAATAGAAATTTATCTAAAGTCTGATACAAAGCCAAAGACTAGAGTTATCCTTCACTCTTTCTTATAAATACATTTTAATATTAACAAAAAAAAAAAATTAATTAATAGCTAAAATTAACTGTTTAACCTAGTTTAATTTTTAAAAAATATATTTAATTGTAATTAATTCGCTTCACCCCCTCGTTACCCTCCCTTTGTTTTACCTCCTCCCCCTCCATACTCCCGCACGCTTTTCTCGACCAATCCCCACTCGCTTTGCTCACTTCGTCCCCCAAGGCAGCCCTTTTCGATTTGCTCAATCCTCCCTCTCGCTCCGTCACTGGTCCAGAAATTTCGTGACGTTTCATCGATCGCCCCGTTTCTAGAGTAGATTTGAATGTAATGTAAAGTGTAAATTATTTTTATAAATTTTTGATTTTCAGTGCTTTAATTTTGAGGTTTTTTTGTAAAGAAAATCATGGAATGCCATTTAGTAGAGTGGAGGTGTTTTGTAACAGGTTATAGCACTTCAAAATACTTTATCTTTAAAGCCTTCTACGTAAAGTAACGTTCGTAATTTAAAGAAGTTTAGGAGTTACGATAATAATACGTGAAAACATCAACTGTAAACAACTATACTAAGCCATGCTTCAATTAAAACAAACCTAAACGTGTACAAGAACTAATATTAACGTGCGAATACACGTTAAGGATAAGAATAGAGAAAGTGTGTATTGACACGATGAAGATGGAGAGCAAAGACGGAGGAGCCATCATAAGAATGGCAGGATATGAAAGGCATTGGGGGTAGCGAGATTTGTGTTCAAAAGTACTGTATAACGTCGCGTGCAGTATCTTTCAAGACATCTCCTGGAAATAGATACGTGTTGAAGAATGTTTCGGATCATCCACGGATGGCAACAGTTTAGGATGATTGATGGCTGTCTTTAACAGATAAAGCCAAACATATCCTTGATGCACTACTAATGAACTGTTGTCAACATCTGGAGGAAAAGAGAACTTTATGTCAGAAGATTAAGAGTGTGCGGCCCCCTCATCACGGCATATAGGCGATTTCACCAATAGGCAGCTTCTCGAATGGCTCACGGATCAATGATTTCATATTCTGTTCGTCTCGTTTCAGCTTTTATAACTGATGGTAGACGTCACTGTTGTGTAGAGAGATAAGCAATTCTCCTTTCGGTGGGGTAAGAGAAAGATGCAATATTGACGGCATTGATTGTGCTCCTTTTTATGTTTGATATAGGAATTTAGTGTGAAGAGATATATCCTCGAGACACATGCAAGATTGGTAAAGGTCCTATTAGTCTCCAATTTATTTCCGTAGATGATGATGCTCATACAGAAATCTCAAACGAAGGTATTCAAAGACTCGAGTGATTAGAAACTGCTCCAGAATATAATCACGTAACGATTCAGAGATTTGTTGCAAAGGATTTATTTATATCATTATATATACTATTATATACTGTCATTATATTTGTAATGATTCCTATTCACTTCCAAACACTATAAACGGGGAGAAGACAAAATATTATTAATAATGAAGCATTTATTTATCACTAATGAAGAATTGTTACAGCATATCTTTATATGGAATTATAATTATAAAAATTATAAATAACGCACCAATGGGCCCCACGTTTTTTAACTAGACAAAGGCCCTCTAATGCCGCGATCACCGCTTATAGTTAATTAAACACGTACAGTACTTGTTACAACTAACCTCACCATTTAACAGGAATTTTTATTTGATATTTTCATACAAAATATAAAAAAACACAAATAAAATGCAAAAAATTATCTTTCTAATCTTTACTTTTTTGTAATTTTTAAATAATTGATAGCATATAAGATTAAGACATTAATAAAATAGCGCATAAAAAGCTGACTAGGACTCAATTATTAATAACAAACAAGGAAGAGTAGAATAATAAAAGAGTTATAAACTTTAATGTAATAAAAGCCTAATATAATATTAATGAATAAGCGTTATATTCGGGGTACGATTATGAATGTTAAATGTTTATAAATTCCTTTATCAATTAAGAATTTCTCACTGCAAAAATAATAAACATTAAAAAAAAATATATTATTTTGAATCAAACTACATAAATTACAGTTAAAAAATTGAATTTTTATTGGATAATTTTACTTATTTTTTTATTAATTAGTAAAATTTTTATATGTTTTTTTTTCAAATTAAAAAGTACGAAAAGTTTGTAAAATATTTGCTTTTTTTCTGTTCAAAAATGTATAATTTTTATAATGAAAATCATAAAAAAAAATACATAAAAATTGGCTCTGTAAAATTACATTTAAAAATTAATTGAAGAAGTTAATATTAATTAAAATTGATTACAATTAAAATGATTTTAATTTTTATGATAATATAATTTTCGATAATAATCGTAATTATATATATTTTTAAAAATCGATATTAAAAGGTAATTACTGAAGTAAATCATTTAATATTTGATAAAATTAAATGTAAGATAATTACGTCATTTGGGTACTGATACGTCAGGTGGTTATTGTTAATAAATCACGAGATTACTGATAGAACACGTAGTTATTGATGAACCACGTGGTCACTGATACATCACGTGGTTATTGATAGATTATGGCGCGCTGTATACTAAAAAAAAACTTTAATGTAGCACATAAACGAGCCAGTGGCGTAGTCCTTTTTATTTGAAACGGGAAGTGTTATTGGTTTGCATGTCCAGTGTAATAAAGTCGTTATACCTGGAACGTGCTCACGATTTCTGGTAGACTTGAGAACCACGTGATCTTCATTTCACTGTTACATAGATTGTTGATCAGAAAAGAACAATTATATACAACAACCTTATTCCACAAATAACACAGATATATATCAACACACAGAATGGTTGATCAGACAGTTCCTCAACAGCAGCCACTTGTGAAAACGTACACACGTTAATGGAAACATAAACACAGCAATTACAACTATACAAACACAAATTTAATTAATACAATCGCTAATTTAGACTCCAAACAGATCACGTTACTCAAAATACAGTAGAGAAAACTCTGCACTACTTAAATATATATATATATACAGTATCAAAACACGTTCAACCAAAATCAGGTGAAGTTATTGTAGCTACATACCATAGACTTAAATTACAATTATAGACAGAAAAATCACACGCTTGCCTTGCAAAGAAGAGTAGAAACACAAATGCATAATATTAAACAGAAAATATTCAGGAAAATGAAAACACACAGACAATGCGGACGACACAACACGCACGTACAAGAATTGTCACTCCAAACACTAGCAGCAAAGCAGCAAAGACTGTACGCTACCAAAACAAAATAAATTATTCACAAACAATGGGGTACTTTTCTTCTGACGTCTACAAATCAAACCCACCACACAATCACAGTAGTGGCACGCCAACAGAAAACCAATTCACAGATTATTGATCTGCTCTTTGGTCCAATCCACACAAAGAAATGCAAGCTGGATCAAATACGAAAAAGACATGCACGATACTCCAATCATGGGGCGTGTTGAAATTAACATACACGACATCCAACATGAAGTATAAAGAACACACAAATGGAAGACACCTGGTACAGACAACGTTTACGATTTCTGATGCAAAAAATTCATAGGACAGCACAACATTCTCACACACCAACAAAAAAGGCTGTCGTGGGAACCACATGGGATGGATGCAAAGAACAAATACTCATAGATTCAGTCATTCTGTAACAAAGCATACGACAACACAGAAACTTATATGTAGCATACATAGATTACAGAAAGTCATTCGAAGCATCTTGTACTGTACGTAGACGACGCAAAAGTACTCACATATATTCGCACAAGAACAGTTAAATCACCTATTAGAAAGTTACACAATGACATTTAATTGGAGTTTGACCTGGACCACTGTTTCCCAAATTTTTTGGACTACTTTTAGTGTATATATTTTTAAGTTTTTAAAACAAGCGTATTTCACATAATTTTTTTAAAGAAAATTTAACCATTCTAAGAATTTCTCGGGAATACTTTGTATTAATTGTATTTATTAAAAATTCACTTAGACATATTTATTAGATGACGCGTTTTTCGTACATAAATACACAAGCTAAACCATCATTTCATGTTTTATTTTTAAAAAAATTAAATGAAATATTTTTGAAAATAATTAAGTGAAAATTTTATTAAATTTTCCATAGATAGCTTTATATAAATTTCATAAATATTCTTCAAAATATTACGAAATAAAGTGAGATTAGCAAGAACGATGACTAATGCCATGCAATTCTTTATCTTAATGAAGTGAAGTGTCTCGTATGATTAACGTTAAATATAGTAAAATGTATTTCTATAAATTATATCTGCTTAAGGAAGTTATCATTTATTTCATACGTTATTTTTCGTGTGTAAATAATCGTTTTCTAGAAATAAAATGCCTTGATATTGTCTAAATTATCGTTTTCGAGCAGTAAACATTCGCCTGTATACACGTATTTTATTATTTGTCTATTCTAAGCATTGAATTTATAGAATTTCACTCAATAAAATTTATAATTTACAAGCAAAATTAGGGATTTCAAGCAATAACAAAAAAAAAAAAATTCAAGTGATAAATTAATAAATTTCGAGAAATAAAAGTGTACAAAAGCATTCTTCAGGCAGTAAAACCTGTATAAACCGAACTCCCACGGTATCGGATATTTTCCGTTTTAGACAGGTTTTACCTTTCTTTCAATAATATTTTCTAACCTATTTACAAGACATTAAACATAATTCAAGCGGAAATTTCGCATGGTAATTCGAGTACAAGCATGGGAAATTTCTTATATAATTTTAATCATTTCTTATTCTTTTACATTATTATTTAAAAATTAGAAGACGTTAAGCATTAAAAAAAAGGATGATGTTTTATCGATTTGTATGGAGAAATTCACAAACATAATGTAACGTTATCGTGTCAAATCGATCGACGATGATAATGATGATCGATTATTTGATATAAATAATGTGTTAATGATACGATACGTTAAGTAAAGCCATAAAATCGTGCACGTCACGATAGAAAAGTCGTGTGTAGAAAATACAGCAGATACACGCTAATTGGATCTTGCAAACCGTCGCAAAGCGAGCGTAATACTTTACACAAGTTTAGTATTGTAAATTGGGGGTTTACATTCACGAGAATGGTATTTTTACACGCATAATATTATACAATAATATGTAATGTAAAATTTATGCCAGTGGTAAAGAGCTAACGGTCGTAAAGCGAGGTGTAATACTTAAATAACCTCCTAACAACGGCCATAAGAGAACGTAACGGCCGTTGTTTGGAGGTTTTACATTTATAAAATCGAGATTAATGCCGTATCATTGTCACATTTAATAATATAAAATGACGGTGTAATATTTTATTAGAATTTAACGTCTAAAAAAATTTATCTCAACGTGTTTTGAATAAATTTAATTTTTGAAACGACTTTTCATGCAAATATATTTAAATATAATTTTATTTTAAAATGCATAAAAATTAATTGTATTTGAATAAATGACAATCTGTGTTTTGTAGATTAATTACTATATTATTTATTTATAATAAGTAAATTGTAATCCAATAAAAGTAGAAAGAAATCTAATTAATTGATAAATTGTATATGACTTATATTGATTAGTTAAAATGAAAGTGGCAGATTTCAATAATTGCTTTACAGACAGACAAACTGACAAATACTATATTTTATAACCTCTGTATATGTCTGTATATGTTTTCATCTTTAATAGTAGCTCAAACGGACAGAAAAGTATATTAAATTATTATAATTACCTTAAACAGACAGACAAACAAACGTACGGTTGCATTAAACAAGTAGAGAAATCGATATTTTTTAATAATTGCCGCAAATAGACAGACAGATCGACATATCATTTAATAGTTCCTTAAACAGAAACAACATTATACCATTTTTAATACCTATCTCATACGGACAGACATACGCACGATTTCTATTTTTAATAGCAACTATAAATGGACGGACATACAGACAACTTTAAGCTGCCTGTATGTCTCCCCCAAGTTTCAGGCAAGCAGATAATAGATACATTCTATCATTAATAACTAACGCAGACAGACAACCAGACAGGCTGTTTCGCCCCTTAATAACAGAAATTTGAAACAGTAAAATTAAATTATACAGACGTTAAATTGAAAAAAAAAATAATTCTCTATAAAATAATTAATACAAAAATTACAATTAATTTTTTATACTTTTATGATTTTATTTAATAAAATGAATTTCTTAAATGTATTTTTGTAGATTTTATCAAATAAAATCACAAAAAAACGCATAAAAACTCCAAAAATTAGGGAAAAAAGTATAGAAATATTCTAAAAAAAAACTCCTTTTCCTACAGTTTTATGTTTAAAATTACCAAAATAAATAAATAAATAAACTAAAGACAAATTTTGTTGTCGCATAACTAGACACATTTTCCAATTTTTTTCTTTTATATATTAATGGATTTTAAGGGAAGATTTCTTTGATAAATGGTACCGACTTTCTAAAAACACATTTTAAAATATCAGGAAAAAGGAAGTGGAGCTGAATGGGGTGACGTATTGCACGTATGACATGATAAATGTCACGTGTTAAAGTTGTTAGATTATCTACTTCCTAAAAATTCCTTTAAAAAAATCAAAAATTACAAGTAAATAAAATGAATGACTGAAGTAAATAGTAATTAAATACTGATTTTTGGTTAAAATACAATAATTTAATTAATTAGATTCGTGTAAAATGCCATTAAAGTTCATGTAAAAATCCCTTTTGGAGTAAATTTATTTTATTTTATTTATAAATTAATTTTTTTTCGGTGTTTATAAAGAGTTTTAAAAAGTAATTTAAAAATTAATTAATTAATTAAATAAGTTTAATTTTTAAAAATGTATAAAAAGTTAAATAAAATTAAGAAAATTTCATCATTAATTAATTAATTAATTTCTTTTTTGGAAAACTTTTAGAAAAAATCATAAATAAAAGTGCCAGAAAAATCATAAAAAAAATTAAAAGTAATAAAATAAATATAAATAAGTGCATTTACAATTGAATTTTTAAAAATATTCATAAAAAATCATAGTTTTTTGTGTTTACTTTCAAGAATACCGTGTGGAATTAAACAATACAAATCATTGTGACGGACAAAGAAACATTGTTCTTACATCAGACGAAGAAGAAATATGAAAAATATAAGTGAAATTTGTTGAATTTGAAGACAATAAACGAGGTGACAATTCGTGATATTGATAAAATTCATTAAGGTTATTATTTGATTACGTATAGCAATAACACTAATTGGATTTTTATGTTAGATACGTGAGAACGGGTATTGGAATTTCTCGTTAACAGGTTTTCCTATTTATCAATAGAGATTTCATTTGATTTTTATTTTTTAATTTATATTTTTATTAATATGCAACCAAAAACCTCGATATAACGCGTGAGATTATTAATATGCAGTCATAACTTGATATATCGCGTGTGCATTAAATAATGTTTCCAGTTATTAATGTGAGGATTAAAGCCTCGGTATTATATAACACGTGTGCGTATGTAGGTGTTGCGTGTGTATTGTGTTGTGCCTATTTATGACGTGTGTTTGTGTGTCTGCACACATAAATACAGTATATATACTATAATCATTTAATTTTCGATTTTTGTTAATTGTATACGCGTGTATTTGCTTAACCAAAACGTCATAAATAAATAAAATAATATTAATTTTTTTATTTTAGTTTTTTCTCATTTTCTATTATTTGTTTCCTAATTTTTTTCCTCTTTAATTTCCTATTTTAAATGTTAATTTTCTTGAATAATTTCGCACTTAATTACTCAACTTTTGGGAATTTGGGAATTAATTTCTTATTTTACTTGTTAATTTTTTTCTTATAATAATTTCCATTGGGGCTGCAATTTGAAAAAAATTGTTGACCTATAAATTCTCACTGTGTGTCTGTCTGTCTTTCCTTAATCTAATCTAATTATTAGATTTTTTAAAACAATCTTTTTGTACTATTTTGTATTTTATTTATTAATTTCTTTAATAATTATTCAATTTTAAATACTGAATTTAAAAAAATTTAACAAATAAAATGTAGAAAATTATTCGAAAAATGAATAAATAAAATGTTTAATTCTTCAAAAATTTTCTATTTAATTCCCTAAATTTTCTCTTTTTGTTAATAATTGAATTTTTTACAATATTTTTTTTTCTATAAGATTAGGGAAAATAGGGAAAAAACCTAAGAAATATTCGCCAAATTTTCTTATTTTAATTATTGAAAACTTCCCGTAACATTTATATTAAAAAATTCTTAATTAAAAAATAAACAACTAAATCAGAAAGCCGAAAAAAAAAAATCAAACAAAAATTTCTTTTAACCATTTAAATTTACAATTTTTTAAATTTTAATTGATGAAATTTTCATAAATTTTTACTAAAATTAATAATTTCTTCTGATCAAATTCAATCAAATTGATTTGAAGTTAAATTTATTTTTATTTTTTAAAATTTTTATAATTGAAACAATTCCAAACGCTAGATATTTCCAAAATTATATTTTTGTATAGCAAAATATAAAGATTGGCACCCAATATATATTTTAAAAAACAAGGAAATGGTGCCCGAAAGACGGTTGCCAAGTTTTGAAAGGGAAATATTCAGTTTTTTTTAGAGAGAAAATTAAAAAAAAAATAAATAAAAATAAAGTAAAATTGAAGCTCCAGCCATTTTATGAATGTTATTTGTTTACTTGACGCGTGCGGCAGACTTCATTTGCATACGAGATATTAAAGAATAATCTCTTGTAAAAATCATTTTGTCATTTGAAAATATCGAATTTATTTATTTCTCAATTTTTAAACAATGATATTTGTAAACTTTTAGAAAATATCTTCACGAAAAACATTTTCTAAAAATGAAATATATTTTATTATTATTATTAGTTTTTTTTAAATAATTTTTTTTTTGAAAATATTTATTGCTGTATTTGTAGAATAGTGTTATAGAATTTTTATTGTCTTTTAGAGAATATTTTTAGGGACTTTTTATTGTGTTTTTAGTTTTTAGAAAATATTTTAGTAAATTGTTTTTATTATTTTAGAGAATATTTTAGGGAATTTTTATTTTTTAGAGATTATTTTTAGGGAATTTTTATTTTTTAGAGATTATTTTTAGGGAATTTTTATTTTTTTTTTAGTTTTTAGAGATATTTTAGTAAATTGTTTTTATCATTTTAGAGAATATTTTAGGGAATTTTTATTTCTTAGAGATTATTTTTAGGGAATTTTTATTGTTTTTTTAGTTTTTAGAGAATATTTTAGGAATTTTTTTTATTATTTTAGAGAATATTTTATTATTTTAAAAAATATTTTACGGCACTTTTAATTTTTAAAAAATATTTTTATGGAATTTTTAATGTTTGTACTTTTTAGTAAATTTTTTTTATTATTTTAAGGAATATTTTAGGGAATTTTTTTAGAACATTTTGGGAAATTTTTTGTTTAAATAAAATTAGTAATTTATATATAGAACAAGATTTAATTATATACAAGTGTTTGTGAAAATCTATAAAGTTAAGAAGCTTAAAATTATAATATAGTTATAATATTATAATTTTAAGCTTTTTAATTTTATAGATTTGTTTCACAATGCTTAAAATGATTTTATTCGATTTTGAATTAATTTTTCGTAATTTATAACGTCTAAAAATTATTTTAACAATGGCTTTTTATATAATAAGATAATTTTATTTAATTAATTATAGCTTTAATATACAAAATATTGAATTAAAAGTGAAATTTTTAGACACATTTTTCGGATAAAAACATTTTGAAAAATACTGAAAAATAAAAAATACCCAATTAAAAAAATTCTGAATTTTTAGGGAATTCGTTAGGGAAATTTTTAAAGAAAACAAATTTCTAATTATGAAATAATGGAAATTTCTTTATCTATATAAATAAAAACATAAATGTTCGTTTGTTCAAAATCTTAAATCTCCGAAAGTTCTTAACCGATTGCTTTGAAATTTTGACACAACGTTGCATTCGAATACGCACGTGTTTTTATATTATATATTATATAGATGTCGAAATTCCCCCCGCGGGGGAAAGGGACAAAATTAAGGCTTACCGTGAAGAAATGGTCTTCTATGGTCTATTTTAGATGCGGTTTTTTTGCGTTTTTTATTGCGTTTTAATAGGGTACGTCAAGAGAATGTACAGTACACTAAGAAGGAATTTTTCGAAATTCTCACCACGCGGGGAGTGTTATACATTTATAATAGATACATTTTAAGCCACAGAAACGCGTAACCGGGTATAGCTAGTCTATACTAATATTATAAAGAGGCAATGTTTGTATGTAAGTAAGTTTGGATGCAGCAGGTAATCTCCAAAACTACTCATCCGATTTCAAAAATTTTTTCACCAATATTTAGAATGGAACTTCACGATGGACATAGGCTGTATATTATTCCGTTAAACATGGGGGATGGACAGTTCTTTACGGTAAGCCTTACAGGGAAGGTTACCGTAAAGAACTCTGCTTCTATTTATACTATTTTAGATGCGGTTTTTTACATTTTTGATTGCATTTTAATAGGGTACGTCAATAGAATGTACACTAAGAAGGGATTTTTCGATATTCCCCTCGGGGGAGAGGGACAGGATTAAGGCTTACTGTGAAGAACTTCACTTCTATTATACTATTTTAGATGCGGTTTTTTGCGTTTTTGATTGCGTTTTAATAGAGTATGTCAACAGAATGTATACTAAGAAGGGATTTTTGGGAAGTGTTATACATTTAGGGGAAGTGTTATACATTTATAATAGATACATTTTGAGCCACAACAAGGCGTGGCGGGGTCTGCTAGTTTAATATAAAAATAAAACAAATAAATAAATTCAATTATTAAATTAGCAAACTTACTTTTTTATATTTAAAATTTTTGCAATTATTGTGACATAGTCACAATGCCGGGCTGCAATTTTTAATGTAAGAATTACGTCACTTCCGGTCCAAACCGGAAGTTCGCGTATTAATCGAGAACTTTGACTCCTAAGATTACCATAACCGGTCTGGATTTTACTAGTGCCTTCCCATGTATTTACAGTACATCATACTTTTCCTGATAACAATCGAGTCATGTCGATCATCTGACTCTGTTTTCGTGAAAATTTTGAATTAAAATCACGTGACTTCCGGTCCATACCAGAAGCTCCTATATAGGCCTCCGACCCCCAAGCTTTTATATCTGGTCTCGATTATCATCTAACTCCGTTCTCGAGATTAACGAAGAACGGACAGAGAGACATGTATAGGTCTGCAATTTAAAAATTGCAGCCAAATAAATATAAATAAAATATAAAACAATTGAATAAATCAATATAAATTTTAGATATTTAAAAATCTATTTATTAAATAAACAAAATAATAAATATAATTTTTAAAATAGAATTTTATATGCAGAAATACAATTTAATTTGTAAAAGAAAAAATTATTTATAAAGTTCACGGTTCTATCTAAGTTTTTTTTTCGGAATTTTTATTTTTGTAATTCATATAACCTTGAACGTAAGAAAAATTGAAAGTATAAACAGAGTAATAAAATAAAAATATGCACATTTAAGTATTTATATTTTACATTTAAGTACTATATTATCTTAAAAAATTCTTATTTTCTANTAAAAATAAAAGAACATAAAAATGAATTCGACAGTCTATAAAAATTAAGTTTTATACAGAATTACGTCGCCAAATATATATTTATAAGCCATGTTTTTTGTAATATAACTGTGCGCATTATACACGATACTAAACCAATATATAACATAAAATATAATATTTTTTCACTTTATCTTGAGGATAAAAATGAAAAATATAAAATTTAATATATTTTATTAAAAATAATATAAATTATCTCATATTTTTTATTTTAAAAACTACTTTTTGAGGTAAAAATTTCACCCCAAGTTCTACATGTTATATACAGTTATTAACTATATTTCTATGGCATATATAGTATTTAAAACGAAATATATTCAAGTAAAACAGGAAAATTAAATATATTCCAAGTTAAATTTAAATTTACTATGAAATATCGAATGAGAATCGTTAGTATATAATGTTTTATTCATTTCCTTACATCTTAAAAGTGGAAAAAAAAATTAGATTTTTAGATAGAGAAGAAAATGGAGAATGAAGTATTTTACTTAAATTAAAATTTCTTCTTCTTCCTCTTACTTTTTAAAATGAAACGTATTTTAAAATTAATTATTTTTAAATAAAAACATAATTTTCTCTTAAGATAAAACGGAGAACGATAATTTTAATTGTAATTTTCTCTTATTTTCAATTGGTACTAGGATTAGTCACAGGAAGGTGAATCGTAGGAATCAATAGGAGGGATTTTTATGCAGTAAATCATTAGTTATGGCACGTGTCGAGTCGATATCAAGGAATCTTTCTAGGATTTTCCAGAAAGATCTAAAAGGAATTTTACTATTCACGTCAAGAATCCGATCGTTATGGATCCCCCGTAAGTACACTTAATGCTATACCTTATCGACTTTAACTAAAAATAAACATATCAACGATCGTAATCCACCCTTAAAAAGAATCTCCATTTATGAGCGATGGATTTTAACTTTTATATTACGTGTTACAGATATACGATGCGTATCCGCGCGTTATACACGATCACGGCGGTTTATTCGGGTTTAAATGCGAAAATTTCGAAGTAAACGGTGTAGAAAACGGAAAAATATTATAAAAACTGCAATAGAAATAAGGTAAAATGATATATATTTATAATTTTAGGGCTTTTTCTTACCTTTGAATGTGCATATAGGTCGTAAAATTCGTCTATGCGCGCCGTAGACAAATTAAGGTGATTTATTTAAATTTAAATATAAAAGTTTTATTAATAAACGGTAGGAAGCGATTAAATATTATGTAAATTTAATAAAATTTAGGTAGAATGATATATTTTAAAATGGTTTCCTTTATTGTTAAAGTCCGGTTTACATATGTTATACGTGTACACGTGTGTCTCTGCGTGTTATAGACGATTATAAGTGTTTATTTAGCTTTAAACGTAAAAATTAGCGTGGAAAACGATTAAATAAGATAAAATAGCACTTTTTAAAGCTTTATCCAATGCTAGAATCTGTTTAACACTTGATGAAATTTATCTTCGCGCTTTATATATACAATTAAAAATCCTCGTTTACCTAATACTAAGAATTTATAAAAGTAACAAAAATAAATAGGAGTAAAAATGTATAAAAATTGAATAGAAATGAAGCAAAATAACATTTTAAAGATTATTTTTAATGTTAGAAGTTGTTTAAAACACACTAAACGCTTTTCGTGTGCGCATTATACACGATTAGTAACGTTCATTTAGTTTTACATCTAAAAATTTATAAGTAAATTAAGTTAAAAACAAATAGAAAGCATAGAAAGTTACTTAAAATAAGATAAATTTATGTTTTTAAGAGATTTTATTAATGTTAAAGCTGTTTAAGACAGGTTACAAGTATCGTATCTATGCCTTATATGCGATTCTAAACTACTTTGTTATTTTGAACATAATAATTTATTAATATATATATAAGATATATAAATTAAATAATAGAATAAAGCATTGTAAACAATACATTTTACACTAAAAATTAGAAATTTATACACAAATTTTTTAAATATCGAAGCTTATTTATGACAGGAAATTCGTATCTCGTACTTCTAAGCTATTCTAGTAATAATTCTTTTAAATATAATTTTTAATATTACATAAAGTTAAAAGAACATAAAAATGAATTCGACAGTCTATAAAAATTAAGTTTTATACAGAATTACGTCGCCAAATATATATTTATAAGCCATGTTTTTTGTAATATAACTGTGCGCATTATACACGATACTAAACCAATATATAACATAAAATATAATATTTTTTCACTTTATCTTGAGGATAAAAATGAAAAATATAAAATTTAATATATTTTATTAAAAATAATATAAATTATCTCATATTTTTTATTTTAAAAACTACTTTTTGAGGTAAAAATTTCACCCCAAGTTCTACATGTTATATACAGTTATTAACTATATTTCTATGGCATATATAGTATTTAAAACGAAATATATTCAAGTAAAACAGGAAAATTAAATATATTCCAAGTTAAATTTAAATTTACTATGAAATATCGAATGAGAATCGTTAGTATATAATGTTTTATTCATTTCCTTACATCTTAAAAGTGGAAAAAAAAATTAGATTTTTAGATAGAGAAGAAAATGGAGAATGAAGTATTTTACTTAAATTAAAATTTCTTCTTCTTCCTCTTACTTTTTAAAATGAAACGTATTTTAAAATTAATTATTTTTAAATAAAAACATAATTTTCTCTTAAGATAAAACGGAGAACGATAAGAGAAATTCATCACTAGAATGGGAATTGAAGCTAAAATTTTTGACTTTTAGAAAAGTTAATTTGATTCTTTTGTGATTAAAATATAAATTTGAGTTCATTTAAAGAGGAAATTTATTTTAAAGCACAATAAATAAAGATTAAACACGGCGAAAATGGCGTTGAAAAGTGATAAAGATAGAGAAATTTATCACGTTTCTTCTTCCATTTAACCCATTTTAAACATAGAAAAAAAAGTATTGCATAAAACATAAAAAATACTTCACATTTTAATAATTTTTGAATTACAAAAGTGAAATAAAGAATTATTAAATCGATATTGAGTTTCTTTGACAAAGGAAGGAAGGAGTCTAAACACTGTACCTAATGATACGTTAAGTTGCATAAAAGAAAATAAAGAAAACTAAATTTAATAATTTAGAAAAAAGATCTGAAATTAGAATAAAATAATGTAAAAAAATATTAAGAAAATTTAATACTTTGCAAGGATTTATAGTGGAAAATAAGCTTAAAACATGAGAAAATTACTTAGAAAATCAATTTTTCTGATTTTTATTCAATTTATAAGTTATTTAATAAATTAAAATTAAAAAAAATCAAGAAAAAAACTCTAAAAAGTCAAAATTTATTGAAGAAAGTACAAAATTGCAATTAAATAAAACTCAGATTTACGTTTTCAACGTCATAACATAATATAAATTAATAAATAATAAGTAAATGAACTTAGAGAATGAGAAAACGAGCAGCAGAAAGGTTAGTCCAGTAGAATTCAATGCTCAAAATAACATAGAAGCCATTCTAGACAAATAAAATCCTCTAGAACGATGCTGTAGATGGCGTAAACAGCATACAGATAACAGCTGATAGATTAATAATGGGAAAAATAGAGCTACCAAACAAGCCATAAATCAAAAAAATTCCATTAAACTAGTCTTTCTAGAATTTAAAAAATTAAAAATAAAAGTTTAATTTACTCTAAAATCCATTCAAATATACCGAGAAGTAATTAAAATCTTCAACGTGGTATCATTTAGAATATTGAAGAATGCTCTAAAAACACAAGTTTTCTTCTAACAAATCCCAAAATTCCAGAAATAAGGAGGCCAAAAATCATTCTAGAAGCTGAAAAAAAAGCTTTAAAAAGTGCAAATTAATAATAAAAAAATACAATTTTTAGTAGGTCCTCGAAGGTTTTTACGGATGAGGAAGGAGAAAGGATGAAGGATGAGGAGACCAGAAATGGGATTTCGTGGAGAAGATGCCCCTTTTATAGAATTTATAGGCCATTTTCTCGCTTCTAAGATACTTCTTAAGCGAAAGGAAGCCATACTTTTATGATATTAAGCGACCGCAACTGCTAGACAATAACTATTTTTAGTAGAGAGTTGATGAAGATCGATACGATTGTTATAGCTCTCTACTATACACTCCATCCCCCACAAGTCACCATCAATGATGAAATTTCTAATAAATTCATCAAAATTAATTCGATTTTAATACAGGAAAACTTTGCATCTTTAACTGTAAACGGACGGTATTCTATAAAGCCTTGTAGCTTTATTATTATAAAAAATTGTTTCTGTTTATTTTCATATTTTTATCGTTAATTTTAATTAAAAATAAATTTCCAAAAAACCCAAAAGTTTTTGGTTAAACTTCTCTAAATTTTAGGATTTTTCAATTTATTTTTGAAGTAGGACTATATTTTCCCGAAAATCGATTCGAATTTTTTGGAAATTCTAAAAAATTAACCCAAATTTTTACTTTCCTGTTATATAATAGAGAGAAAGTATGGCTATCTGTCAAAAATGACCCCCTTAAGATTTTCCTGTATGTACAGTACAGTACGGTTGTCAGTTTGCTTGTGGGGTCACGATTTCCTTCACTCACTTTGAAGCTTAATAACTCCCGTGCCTTTTGTCGAAAATTTCTGAAATTTTGCAGGGAGGTTTATGTTTTAGGGGGAAATCTTTCTTTAATTTTTCAGGAAAATCGAATCATTGGTTCGGGAGATACAGCTTCAGCCCATTAATATCTCCCGAATCAATCTGAAGACTTAAAGGTAATGGTAGCAATTGTTAGGGATGAAAACAAATACAGGATGGAGGGAAATTGCAGCAACAATGTTACCAGCTTTTATTTTATAGTCTTTTTTAAAATAATTTGAGCCCACCAGTGGCCAATGTATACAATTACTATTTGTCAGGTGGGAACCTACGATCAATGTTCGTGAGTTCGCACCTGACAAACAGACATTGCCAGATTGCCCACTTGTTGCCTTGCCATAGCCCATGAAACCCAACCATACGATTTTTAAATAAAAATGACGTTTATTTAAGATTTACAAAATAAATATTGTAATTTTCTGCGTTTAAGCCGCAAAAATTGCTAAAACGCATAATTTGCAGCTGCTTTTATGTAGACTTTAGTACACAAATAACCCGCGGGTTATAGAATACGCTATAAATTATTGTAAAATTCGAATAAATTCTGAACAATTCTTATTAATTCAAGCTTGTTTCTTTTTCAGGTTTTTAAATTTTTCTGTGGTGAATTTTATGTTAACACATTTCAAACATCGTCATCACTGTGCATTGCATTCCACTGGCTTTTTACTTAAATCTTTTCCTACCCGTACTGAAGTTTTCATCTAAGCATTGCTTTGTACAGCGAGTTTTTATATCCACGGGTTTTGTACACATGAAATTTTGCCAAGATGGGCTTTGTATATTGCGGTTTTGTCTTTGGGTTTTCGTCCTATGGTCATTTATTCTATGAGTTCTGTCTGGATGATTTTATTTACATTTCGTCGGCACATTGTTAACGGATTTATAAACTTTTCACCAAAGATTCACGCATTTCTCCAAGGATTCTTAACTTTGAATGGGTTTGTTAACAAATCTGCACGTATTCCTCCAAGGATTATTGACTTGGAGCGGCTTTGTTAACAGATTTGCACGCATTCCTCCAAGGATTCTTGACTTGGATCGGATTGGTTAATAGATTTAGAATAATTTGGTATACGTTCCTTCATAGATTTTTTAACAGGGCGCAAAATTTTTAATTATTTAAATTAAAATAAAAAATAATACGAATAATTAAAGTGTATCCTTCGACCGACACGCATTAAATCTAACTAAACTGCACGTTAAATAATGCATTTTGAATGAAGGGTGTGGTAGCAATAAAAGAAAGATTTGTCATCTTGTTTGCCTTTGTGATTTTTATAACAGACAACTCGATTGAACGATCAAAAAATACACAAATTCTGCTGTAAATTTAGCAGCCAAAAAAATAATTTTGTGGAGCAAAAAAAAAAAAAAACAAAGTTTTACATAAATTTTTGATAAAGATATAAAACATAATTGTCAATATAAATTTATTTTTATGGATATTTTTCCCGTCGAAAATACATCAAAAATGGAATAAATTTCTTAGAAGTCTCCTAAAACTTGATTTAGTGTTATTTAACACGTAATTTAACATCTAAAAACATGCATTTTACAGTCAAAAATTCAAATTTTGTTCAGTTTGAAAAGTCAGATCACATGCTTACACCAAGTTGTAATTAAAAAATTTATAAAAATTATTTTTAATAATATATTTTTTTATTGAAAATAGTAAAAAATAACATATAAAAACTTATAAAATTAAATATTTTTTAATGTAATTTCCGAAAAATCTATAAATAAGACATACTTTTTGTTATAATTTCCAAAAACACCAATAAATTAGACATAATTTTTGCATCAATTTCCAATAAATCTATAAATTAAGCGTATAATTTCATACAAAAAACCCGAATTTTTAATAATTATGCACCATTAACTGACGAAAAAAATATTTTACATCAATTAAATCATCAAAAAAATTTTTTTTTAACTATATAGATGATAATATTCATAAACGGAGCCAATTTCTGTCCTCTTTACGATGTAAAATAGTGAGAGAGTCGAAGAATTATAGCATCTGCGACTTTGTGGATCCGTGCCAAAAAGTATACAGAATAATTTAAATCATTTGTACAGACAGACAAACGGACACATACACACACACACCTTTTCAAAATTTTGAAAAATCGTTTCCTATGACTTTAATACTTTAAAACAGGATAAAACTCAATTAGAAGTCATCAATGAATAATAAAATTTTAAAAAAATATATTATCTTTAATCGTTAAATTATCATAAAAATCATAAAAAAAAGACTTTAATTATTTAACGTGACATGTGATAAATGCATGTTTAATGATACAGGATTTTATGGCTTCGTAGGGGTTGACAAATTCCATTATTTCTGCTATTTTTTTAAATAGAATTTTCCGGAAATATTACATATAAAATATAATAATAAAAAAATAGTCTTTAATAAAGATTAGAAGAATTTATTCTCTGTTCAACCCCCTTTTTTCAGTTCATTCAACCCTGTATCAAATCAAAATCATGACTTTTTTCTAGTTACAGATTCAGCAGATCAAATAAAATCCAGAAAAAAGCAGCAAAAATTTTTACTACTTGGATTATTTTTACAGTTTTTTTTTAAAATATAATCTTGAAGTTTGTAGCTTTATCTTTAAGATTTTTCCAAAGATTCTGGAGATTTTCGTGTATAACGCGCACCCCAGAACAATTTCCGTTGATAAAATTCGAATTTTTTTTTGGATTTTCTAAGAAATATTTTGTTCTAATTTCTCTCGAATAATTTTGTTTGATTTTTCTTCTATTTTGCTGGATATAATTCCTTTTTTCTCTTGCCAAATTTATTAAACCATATTCCAGTTTGATGGGTTGTTTTTTTCCTTTATAACTTTGAATAACTTTCATACCAGATGATTTTTATGATAAAAATAATTAAAGTTAAATAAAGTTAAAATTTATTTTAAAAAATAATGCTTTAATCGGTTTATAAATTAATTTGATTAATTGTCACTTAAAATTATAATTTACACCAAAAAAGGGATAATGGTTAATGAGCAATTACAAGTTACAACTATAGATATTGAATTATTTATAACTTTATGAGGAATTTTATGGAGATAAAGAGGACTTAATCGTTAAAAAATCGATTTTTTACCCATTAACAATATAATTCGTGTAAAATTTATTAAAAATTACATTAAAATTTGACACATTTTACATCCATTGACGTTACTTATCTCTACAGCACGTTTTCGCTCTTATCTCCTTTATTTTTCCGAATTATCTTATAATTTTAAGAAAACATTAAGATAACTAGGCGTGTAATTTTGTAAAATATTTAAAATAAGTTTATTCTTAATAATGTTTGCAAGAAAAGGCCATTAAGAAATACACCTGCAATCGATCCCGGTTATTCTTGCAGATGCAGATTAAATCTGTCGTTATTTTTTTATATTTAAGCTTACGGTTAATATTAAAGTAATAAATCATTAAAATTTTATAAGAAATTTATTAATTTAGTGGAAAAAAAGAGTACATTCATTGATGAGTGCAAAATTTCTAGCGTAGAAATGATAAATCCGATTAAAGTATCTCAGTAGAGGGATGTTAAAAGCTTTCTTTTTTTAAGATAGAAGGATTGCTGAGAGGAGAAATGATAAAAGAAGAGACACTTCAATAAAATACAAGTTTGAAACATCCTCTGATAATTAAAAACTTCGAAAAAAACTTTCGACTGTTGAAGATTTTCTAAGTTTTGGCCATTTAAAATTGCCAGGAAACATGTGATCGGCCCCCCAACATCAATGCAGGCCCCCTACACCCGAACACATATAGATTCTTAGAAAGATCAAGGAAAAATCAAGATTTCGTTGGAAAATGCCGCCATTAAGCAGACAGCAATATTGACAAAAATATCAAAATCTGAGATAAGTAATCTACAAAAAAATCGTGTGGGACGTAATAAGATTATATTTTGAACTTTTTTTACAGGTAGAAATACCTGACTAAAAGAAAAAATCACGTTTGGATGTCTTAGAATCCAGCGCCATTTTTGAAAATCATTAAGAGAAATCGATCATTTGATAAATGATGAAAAGGTCAGATGATGCTGTCATTTAAATATATTTTATTTAGTCTAGAACTTAGTTTCTTAGACGATATTTTCGAAAAAAAAAAACATTTTTTATTCATTTAAATATAGAAATAATTCCGTCATTATCATTGGTTTGTAGCTATAATTACGTCTTATTCAAGAATATGTTAAGTACTGTACATGAAATCCCGCCACGATAGTAAAAAAAATTAAAATTTTGTAAGGTTTACATGAATTAGAAGGGCTGAAGATACAAAGTTATTATTATTTGAAAGGAACACTATGAATAAATAAAAGATAAAATTAATCAAAACTACGCGATAAATTAAGGTAATTTCTCACTTTTTGAAGGTAAAATTTAATGTTTTTTTCATTAAATATTCATAATTTTGTTTCTTTTTTTGCATTTTAAACTAGCAAATATCATTAAAATGTGATTTGTTTAAAGTTATATTCATGTTTAATAAAATTCCCAAATGACCATTTAAAAATAATTTTAAAAGTATTTATTTGCTTTTAATATTTTATCGTAGTTTTATATATTTTATTTAAAAATAAGGCAAAAATTAAAAAAAAAAATTATTTAATACGTTTTTTTTAAGAATAAAAAGTTTGAATGAAGTAGGTGGTCCTCCGAGATATATTTGATTTCAATTAAAAAATATTATTGATGATTGGTTGAAGAAATTCAAGCAAGCAGACAGAGATTTATATCGACCAATCGTCGTTAATCAGACGAAGTCATTATCCAATCATCAGTAAACTTTCCTAAAATGTATTTATATATCTTATATATCATAGAGTACTGCCTATATATACAATTCTTCAATTTATATTTCTATTATTATATAAATAATGAAAAAAAGTTAAGTATTAAAATAAATTTAGATAAAAATAACGTTCAGGATTAAAGCATAAAATAACTATTCTAATTAAAAAAAATATATTAAATTAAATTATAAAGAATATAATCTTTTTAATAGAAATAATATAAAATTCAATATGTTATAATATTAGAAAAGATGAAGTAGGGACTACATTTAGCTTATAAGTTAAGAAAATTACAGCATAGAGCCTCGAGTTATGAGGGTAAAATAGCATAGGACTCAGGCTACGAAGATAAATGCAATTTTTTTTTACCTCATTATTGCCTGCATTAATGCTCATAATTTAAATCTACCAACATAAACTCGAGTTAACGTGAAGAAATTCACGATTATTTCCAGAAAATTTCTCATTTAAACAAACCTATTTGCCCGAATTAATATAAAGGGTGGTTCAAAAATCAGTTAACTGAGATATACTGTATTTTAAGATTTAATACTTACTACAGTAATACTTAATTTCATAGTAATTTATTAGTTTCGAATTACGAATAATCTTAAAAATATCTCAGTCAACTGACTTTTGGACTACCCTTTATATTTACAACACACATTCGATCAATTCTTCAATAAAAACAATTTGAATAATTTAAAACTCGTTTTATTTTGTTCACTCATTAAATAAATGGACTGTTTATTATGAAAGCGATGTGAATCCATTTTCCCTTGTGTTAAGATAATTAAGAGTTCCAATTGATTCAAAAACCCTGATAAAGTTTGCCCCTGTTTCTATGAATTTAAATACAGTATACGTAAATTCATTACACAATCAATTTTTCAATGACAATTAACTAAACTAAATATTGTTTTTTTGGGTTTGCCATAAGTGGATTTGCGGCATTTTCATAATTATTTAAACTATTTAAATCATTGGACTGCAATTTGAAAATTTCAGACCTATACATTCCCAGTGTCGTTCGTCCATTTGTATGTCCTCCGTTAATCTAGGAAATGGAGTTAAATAGGTGAACAACAAGACTCGATTGTTATTAGGAAAAGTATGATATACAGGGGCAAGACGTCCGACTAGGCATGAAAAGATTTCACTATACACGAACTTTCTGCACTGGAAGTTACTTTTTTTGTTTTTAATTATAAGATAGTTGAAATTTGTATCCTAGCATTGTGACGTTGTCACAATAAATAATTTCTCGTTTTAATTTTGGATTGTTACGTAGCAGTGTATTGAAGTATTCATAATACGTAGAAGGTATGTAAGGCAGTAGCTGCATCACATCTTTATATTTTTTCCTGTTTAATGGTTCTAGCATATTTTATATAGGGTTGTTCGAGTGTTGAAGATGCTTCCATACGTGTAGTACTGTACATATATATTCACTACCATCAGAGGAAAGTGTAATTTACACGTGCACAATTTGGTATATGTGTCGTATCACAATAAAATGGTTAAATACTGTACGTTTTTAATTCATTAATTTATTAAATAATTATATTACGGCGATTTACACTACATTACACGATCCTCTGATTACATATGTATTCCATATGTATAATTCCCACATCCCTATACATAATATATGAAGGGCATTGTAAATTACAATGCTCCGTATGGCACTTACCTGTTATGGTGGAAGCATCTAGTGATTATTTTTAAACAACCCTATATTTATTTATTCTTATGACGTTTCCAAACTTTGGAGGGCCCCTTCATCTAATTTGTAATAAATCTAGATTTTTAAGTTCCGCCCCTCCATCAATTTTATAAAAAATTAGATACCTTTTTTATATAAAGAAGTCTAATTGTAAAATATCCAGTGTTAATCCTTAACTTACCCATTAGACTATGGGAAATGGACGTCAAAGCATAGAGTTATTTAAAAATATAAACTGTAAATTGTCTATAAATAACGAGTATAGAAGACACCGAGATGTGTCTTCTATACTCGTTATATTATTTTAAAATTGTATTATAAGACCGTTTCGGTTAAGATCGATTTGAAACGGCTGCCAAATAGACAAAAAAGTAATACAACCCGGTTAATTAACTTGTATTCATTCATAAACTTTTTACAGATAATTTAAACGTAAGTTAGGTAAAAAATAAAAGGTAAAAATTTAAGTTAATTTGGAGTGTTCGTTAAGGAGGAACTACCAAGCTGGATCGTTTTTAATAATGGATGCAATTGTAATGGCTTGTTTGTAAATGCGTAGAACCTCTGCCATTCTGGCCTCGATACGTTCTTAATAATACTAGCTTTATCCCTTTTTACCATATTTGTGGTACGGATCCAAACGCAGTAGGGCCGTATCAAATTTATTGGATGTTCTATCAGCCTCGTACCCTAGTGTCTCGAGGTACAAATCTAGATGAAACGTGGGTAATTTGTAGACCCTTAATTTTTGGTCCTTGAAAAACGCTAGCACGCCCTTTGCCATTATATAGAAGTCGATAAACTGTTGAATTCCTATGATACGTCATAGCTGACTGTATGTTTGGTTAATTCGAAGCTACGCGGAAATGGTTCAGATCTTCATTGTACTGTACGTCACCACAAGAAATTTTTTTTCACACAATGTTGTAACAAAAATTAGTATACCGATACATCGTGCTCGACCTTTGAACTGTAATGCCTCCGAAGCACAGTGCGAGTGCCATTCTTCTGACGTAATTTAATTGGCCAGTAGTATCGTTGGCACTCGAGCAATGAGTGAAGGTTCATCTTAGCTGGCTCTACAATTTGGATCTGAGTAAGGCCATCTTGTACAGCCAACTAAGACGAACCTTCTTTCATTGCTAGAGTGTCAACGATATTATTAATGAATTAACATTACGCCAGAAGAATGGCACTCACACACTGTTTCGGGAGCAGCACAGTTCAAAGGTCGATCACAACCTATCGGAATACTAACTTTACTACAATGTAGTGTAAAAAGCAGGGCTATGGAGTCGCGTAAAAATCTACCGACTCCGACTCCGACTCCGACTTTTCCTTACCATCCGACTCCGACTCCGACTCCGTTTCATATACATAACAAGTTGGTAAGTAAGAAGGGAGTCAAAACACCAAAACTCCACGACTCCGACTCCACAGCCCTGGTAAAAAGGAATTTCTTGAGGTGACCTACAATGAAGATCTGAACCATTTCCCGTGTGGCTTCGATTTAGCCAAATATATATCTACAACATATTTTAGGAACCTCACAGTTTATTGGCCGCTACACAATAACGACGGCCTTATCGGCTTATCCCAGAGGTCCAGAAAGCAGAGGTCTACAAAATACCCGCGTTTTATTCAGCGTTTAATCGTGCCAGGACGTACCAGGGCGTCGCCCTGGTACTTTTTTAAGCAGCAAAACACCATAGACGGTGGCGCCTCCACAATGGAGATTCAAACTAGGAGCGCCGGTTAGCGCCCTGGCACTTTTATATTTATGAATACACTCCTGGTTTCATCCCGATTTTGAAGTTTCTTCGGCGTATGCCAGCCAAACCTCTTGACACTCGGGTATGAGGCCGATAGAATACAAAAGATACTTTGACATTAATACAGTTCTAGCTGCTTTTGGTAAAATGGAGTGAAGGCAAGAAGGAACCACACGTCAAAGACTGGAGTGGGAGAGATTCTACATGTTTACAAGCAGGCATTACGGTTGGATCCATTAACAAGAGCCCAACTCGAAAGTTCCTCCAGAAGGAATATTTCAAATTAAATTAATTTTTCGCTTTTATTTGTATTTTTTAAAATATTTTTGTTATTAGATCGTGTTATTTAATTAATACAATTTGTAAAGCGCGAGGGCGTTGTGTTCTAAAATTTTATTTTCTTTTATTTCGACTCGTGGAACTTGAAAATGGCGGAAATGTGTTAATGTAACTACACATAATCGCATGTTTTATATTAAATATATATATATATTTACTGTATAATTTTTTTAAAACATTTAATGATATTAAATCTAATTTTTCAATTAATTTTGATACAATTTTTAAAAATGTTTTAACTTAATTACTTGTTAACCATCTTTAAATTTTTGTCTAGTTTATGATAATGTAGATTCTGTGTTATTGATTATGTTAATAAATTTAATTTAACTTGGCAAAAATTAAGTTATTTCTTAATTAAATTATTTTAAATGGTAATTTATTATTTAAATTAGTAACAAATTTTTTTTTGGCTTTTGCATGTTTTTACAGCGTAAAGTACGCTTCGCGTAGAGCGTGATGGACCGACGTGTCCATTTTCTGTTCCTATCGTATGTAAATTATTCAATTTTACAATGTAAAAATGTAATGTAAAAATTACAGTTAAAATAATAATATACAGTGGCCCAAAAGTCGGTGAACCGAGATATTTGACCGCAATTTCGGATCGGTTTTGGCCGTTTTTAAAAATAAGTTATATCATCGATTAACTGATTTACGAACCGAAATTATTAAGAATTTTTATATGAAATAACTCTAAAATATCTGTAAAGAATTTTAATTAAAAAAAGCCAAAAATTCTAAACATTTTAATGGAAGAAACGAAACGATTAAGATCTTAAGAATCTCCATCTTTTCCAAATTTGGAGAAGAATTAAGGCAATAAAACGTAATTAATTCTATTCCATTCTATTGTATCATCTGTCAATAGAAGCGTCACGTGTTTAATATAATTTAACACAAGATATCAAATATATTTGACTGTTACTTCCGTGACTTCTGCACGAGACATTTTGCGGTGGAAGTAGGAAAAATATCAAGAGATCGTTAAGGGCGATCATAGATTTTTATTGCTTGCTTGACATTGTTCAAACAATAATAAGAAACTTTATTAAAAGGATTCGGTATAAAGTTTATGGTCAGGTGATACAATTTATTTGACGATTTAACGAAAATACTGTGTCGAAATGCTCCTTCACATGTGAACTATTGTCAGATGAGATAGAAATGTATCTTTTTTTTCTTGTGTTTTAGACACTGATGTTGTGTCTAAAAAACAAGGAAAACTTCGTTTGCGATTTTAATTGAGTTTGTTTTGTTTATTCTTTAGATTTCTAATTGTCTGTCTTATTTTTTAGTGTGTATTTTTAATTTTCTGTTTTATTTTATTTGTATAAGTTATTTCAATTGTAAATTTCATTTATTTGTGTTATTTAATTGTCATTTTCATCAATTTCTATTGTTTTAATAATCAATTTTACATGACTGCTCTTTTATTTAATGTTTGTTTCACTTGTTTTACGTATACTTTTAATTGTTTCATTTTTCTTTGTATACAATATTTGAATTCTCTCTTTCATTTGTTTAGAATTCTTTAATTGTCAGTTTTGTCTGTCTGTTTTATTAAACAGCCTATTTCATTCATCCGTAGCTTTCAATTATACACATTTCATTTAGCTACGAAAATTTTAATTATTTCCATTTATTTGTCTTTATCATTAACTTGTATATTTCCTCTTTATTGTGTCTCCCATTTGTTTATATGTTTTTTAACCGTCCATTTTATTTGTCTGTCTCATTTAATTATCAATTTCTTTGTTAATAACTTGTTTTTTTTAAATAAACACATAAAATATCATTATGTAATTTTTTAAAAACTCAATTTTAATTTTTATAAAAATGTCGTTTTTTAGAGACATTTTCGTTGTTTAAATTTTAACTACGTCCTTACAATTTTATAAGCACATTGAAGGTGATCCTTTCATGTTTTTTTTTACGTTGAAGGTGACTTATAAGGTTTATTTATGGTATAAATTATTCATTATTTACGTTATTTTACTACCATTCTTGATTAATTCTTTGAAACGATATAATATCCTGCTTATTTATTATCGATTCATTGATTTTTCTCGTCCCAAAAGGAGTAAAAGCATAAAAATATCCTTTCATTCTTCCAACTTTGTCGATTTGTTGTCGTAAACCTTAAGATTTATATCATTCCAGTCATCTAGGAGTATTGTTTACGTGACCCATCTTTACTTAAAAGGAAAAAAAGAATCAAATTTTCCTTCCATCTTTATGCCAATGTGACCCAAAATTTTGTATCATACACTCAATTAAGTAGAGTGCAGAGTGTGAGAAAGAAGGTTGAATTTCTACCACTCGCGTGAAGACACGAGAAAAATTTACATATAAACACGTAAAATTACATATTTAATTGTACCTTTCTTAAAAATTATTCACGTTTCGTTCAAAATAATGAAGAGAAACTTACATGCTTCCGGCACCTTCTTCACCACATCCTGTTTGGTTGTTTGATATCCTTGGTGCCATGTAAAATTTCTCGCGTATTCTGTATTCAGCTGACAAAAAAAAATTTAAAAAATACATTAAAAATCTTTTTTAAAGTTTATTAATTAATTTAATCTTGTAGTAAACATCAGAAGTGAAGTTAAAAACAAATGTAGGTCGCGATACACGAATTAATCAGTGTCCATAAACCTACTGTAAGGCCGAAAACTAGAGAATTAATTAGTGTGTAAGACGTTGACAGAACTGATTTTGCTTACGTTAATTAATAACATTTTTCTATTTTAATTTTATTTTACATCTTGATTATTCCATTAAATGTCCTGAAATGTTTCATTATTTAATCTAGTTAAATGAAAACTTCAAATTTTTCTGAGGTGCAAACAGGCGTTGAAAGATTTTTTTATGTTTCTTTCTTTTAGTCAATCTCTGTCCTGTTTTAATTGATATTTTTTTCCCTTCACAATACAGCAGCAATAAAGTCACACTAACGTTCTCTGGAGATTTTTATTTATTTACTTAAGAGTTCTTCCTGGCTTCTTTCAAAGAATTCAATTGGTAAACACGAATATAAATTGTCAATTTACTTATTTATAATTCGCATTACATGTTAAAATATAACTTAACTATTTAATTAAATTTATTATGTAATAAATTAACTCATTGCTTATTAACTGAGATTTATTAACTATGTTGAATATTTCATTATTCATAAAGTTAAAATATTATATAATACCTTGAAAATTTAATTTATAAATAGAATAACTATGCCAATAGATAAATTTAACAAACAATTCGGTTAAATTTAATGAAAATAAAAAGTCTTTAAGTGTAGGTCGTCCTCTGCAATACACGTAAGATATACGAACGGATTATTTTAAAACGTATCTAGTTAAACAGGCGTTTATTGGTCGAATAAAGCGTGTCTCCACCTATATTTTATTAAACTAGCCAATCGGCGTTCAGATTACAAATAGTAAACTAATTTTTTTCAATGTATAATACAGAAGAACGCCTATATATTTCTATACTATTTTTAAAGTTTTGCGCGTTAATAAATACCAAAAACTTTTTGATTTTACTCTTTATTTATCCTTTTCTTCTTAGATTTTAATGAAGAAATATTATTTTCTTTCAGAAAACGTTAGAAAATGGCATTGACAGATCGTTATAAATCCCTGGAGCTTAGTCCAAGACGTCTGTAATCCTGCTATTGTCTCCTCATCAAGCATTTGTTTTCTGAAACCTTCTCTAAGCAATTAGTGATGAAAGGGGAAAAAATGGTAAAATAAGACAATTCTGCTTATTTTTTTCCCTAGAAAGGTATTATTTTTAATTATTTAAATAAGTTTAACGACGCCATTTTTATTTAAATATAGCCATTTTCTACTCACATATGAAAAGAAGGTTTGTTTATTTAACTTATATTATTTTTCTTAATTTTTTTCTTTGAAATTCAATATAAAATTCGTGAAATTTTACGTCCGAACATAAAGAAAACATTACTAGTTTCATATGTTTAAATTGCAAAGTGTAAAGGTCAAACTGACAATATAGTTTCAATAACGGACTTCTTCTACTCGAAAGAAAACTTGCTGGAAATGTAAATAATATTATTTATTTTAAATAAAATTACATTTTATTGTATTTTAGAAAAAATTTTTGTTAAAAATATTAAAAAATATGTTAATTTTTAGAGCATCTTTTCACGAAATGATGCCATTTAATTCAACAGTAACAGGTAAAAAAATGGCTAATATTATTACTTAAATATTAAAATAATTTTATTTACTTTAAAGAAAACTAAATACAATTGTGTTCTACAGCAACATTCTTTCTGAAATATCAGAAATTTTGCCAATTTACAACGTATCTTTTCATCAAACAAAGCAATTTAATTTGATAGTAACAGGCAGGAAAGAAAAAAAAAAACCCTAATTTCATTATTTAAACAGCAAATTTATTGGGAAATAAATGTGTATTTTTTAGAAATGAATAACAAATTAATTTTTTTTATTGGTTTAATAAAATAAATAATAAAATTAACAGGAAATTTTCTGACGTGATAAAATTAATACTTTAATGTTTGTAACTATTATTTTAACACATTTTTAAGCACGTATTTTCGATCTCTGACGATTTATTTCTGTTATATGACATATATAAATAACTTATAAATGCATTTATACGCAAAATAATATCAAATAAAATTAGTTAATTAGATCTATGGTTAAAATTTTTGAAATTTATAATTAATTCCTCTTCAGTTTACCCCGAAAATTTACTAAATAAATGCTTAAAAAATCGTATAAAATAATTAAATAAATTGAATTTTTTAATGATAAATTATAATTAAAAAAGTTTAAGGGGTTAATATTCATTTTTAATACTTTAGCAGCATTAAATAATTATGTGCAGTAACATTATCACATAATATCAATGCTTTATTATGTAGTTATAGTACTATTATTGATTTGTATGGTGTGCAGCATTGTATACTTTCGTATCGTTAATGCTGCATCACATACAGCACATCTGATTTTTTTACTTGAACAGCATTAGTCTAACAATACTTTTAAGTAATAAATCATAATATTCTACTGTTATAATTGACTTAAAGAGCCTACACTATCAAAACTCAGTGATAAATCGTATAAATTCACCAACCTCCCCTATTATAAATTCATTGAAAAATTTAGTAAGGAGGAGGAGAACACCTTAAAAAGTAAATGATTTTAGTAACTTTTAAAAGTATTTTAGCCTTAAATTATTTAATTTTTATGAATTTACTGCTTCAACATTCTTCATTATATATATATAGACTTAGTGCTGGATTCAATTTTAGTAGACTTTTATTATATAATTTAATTGTGGATTTAATAAATTAATAATTTATTAACTAATATAAAGACATTATTAGGTAAATTTTTGGAAGATTTTCAACACTAAACCATAAAAAATAGAAAAAAAAATACCGCGAATGAAGGACAGAATTGAATATTTAATCACTATCAAATTCCTTATGAGACGTTCTATTTTGGGAGGGTTTTAACAGTGTTTAAGTCCCTGTAATTCGAAATTAAGTCGATAAATTAATTATATTATACATTAAAATATTAAAATATTTTTTTAAAAANTATATAAGCCTAATAACCTAGTGAAATTAGTGTGGGGAGGCTGAGTGAGTAATATTATGAACGACGCAAAGGGAGTTACAAAACTATAATGTTAGCGTGTTTGACCGGCCTAAGACTCGTTAAAAGTTACGATCGAAAGTTCACAGGTCTTTGCTCCCTTATGATTGGCATGTTACATCCATTGTGCTATTTTATGTGCAAACGGAGAATTTCAAATCACAATCTCGCATATTTACAATTTACAACTTGGTTATATAAAATTTCAGATATATTTTACTGTATGCTCTTTCATTTTGATCTTCCACACAGCTTATTAAAAATGTAGTTAAACCTTAATGCAAAAAGTTCGACACTTAAAAGTTTTATAAGCAAAAATAAAATATATATATATATATAAATTATAAGTTTAAAAATTATTAAATTAATTAATTAAAAATTCTAAAAATATATTCAGAGAATTTTTAATACAAAATTTATATATATACTTGTGTATTATTTTGTATACTAAACATATAAAAAAAATCAATAAAAAAATCAAGAAGGAATGTCAATGATAGATTACAGGCCCTTTATTAAATTTTTTTCTTTTGGATAATTTTCTTGTATTTTTTTGTATTTTTTAAAGCCCAATTTCTTTAGAGAAATAAATTACAAGAGATCGTAAATACAATAAGCTATACAAATGGTATATATACATACAATTAATGGGTTATCTGCTATGTAAAAATTTTTTAAAAAATGGTAAAATTTGTATAGGGGGTTTAGGATATTTAGGCTTATAGTTCTTACCTTCTCCTCTGTTGGCATCGGACACGCACGGCATAAATTCCAAAACGAATTGATCATGTGCCACCCTTATGACCCTTTGTTCCTATAAATCTGTAAAACTATATCTCAACAAATCCGCATACAACTGTATAATTGCAATGCTGAAGTGAAGACGAACACTGCAGGGTGGATTGGCTTTCTCTCCCTTCTACTTCATGACGCCCCGATGGAAGTGCCATCCCGTGGACGAAAACTAAACTATTCCCGAAATTGACATTTTTTTTTTTCTAAATCGTGTCTTCCACGTGTTTGGATTCGAATGTCAAAAATGGCGTCGCGAAAATGGTTCTTGAATTTCAAATGTATAACTTTTATATATTTATATAAACTTTGTGTACTTAAATATTTTAAACTTAATTCTTCTGTGTTTTAAAATAGTTTTTTTTGTGTTTTTTAAGCTATAATTTAACATTTTTTAATGCACAGGCTGGCCAAAAGTCAGTTAACTGTAGTATTTAAAGGTTAAACTCGCATCTTTCAAGTTTAGTCTTTTTTGCAAAAAGTTATTGAAGTGCCTGCAAGAAACACCTGTTAATTAACTCATAAATCAAAGGATTTTCAAGTGAAAAAATCTTAAATTGGTAACCAAATTCTTGATAATTAGAAAAAAATTAATGATCTCGATTTGATTGGCTAATGATTAGGAAATAAATATTTTTCTTGTTGGAGTTTGTAAACGTTAGAAATCGCATCTGAAATGCCAAATGTTACATGTTACTAGACAATTTTTTAGTTACAAAGATAATTTTTATATTAAAACTGATCAATAACGTCTAGATTATAAACATGAAAGAGTTTTTTGGCATGATACTTGTCAACTCACTGCCAGATTTACAGACAAAATAAAAAAAAAACAAATTACAGTTTAAAATATCCCCTGCTATCAGGTACAATTAAGAGCTTACGTCCATTAAATTTATTATTTAGTAGAGGAAGGGCCTCTTATAAGTTATAGCTTAGGGTCTACAACATAATCCCGTGCCAACTGCTAATAAATCATTATTATTATTTATTTATTTTTCTGTCACAAATTGGAACCAGTTCATTCGATTTTTTACTTTATTCGAAGCAAAAATCATAGATTTATTTATAAAAATAATTTTAAAATTTATAATAATAAAATATTTTATTAAAGTTAAAAAAAATTTTTAAATGAAATATATTATTACAATTCCTTAGTTTTGTTTATATAAGTGGTTCTCTACGGTACCTGTAAGATCATAGAAAAAACCTGAACACGGATTGGTTGGTTATGTAATTAGCTCAACGCTAATTGGTTGAAAATTTAAAAATTTGAATAATTTTTTTTAAAACTCATATTTTAAAGCTTTTTTTAAATTACTTAATTTAATATTGTTAAATATGGGGGAATTGCTTACATTTGAAGACATTTTATGTTAATTTTCTATCTTCTAGCATCTCAAGCTTATTAAGTAACTGCATAAGTTATTCTATGTAATTACTGTATATTAATCCATTAAAGGAACTAATAAATAAATTTTTAAGATGAAAATATTTGTGAATATCTTTCTCAAAAACTCAAAATATTGCGAAAAACAGGAAGAAATTAATAAAAATAAATTATAAAAAATTATTGCTTTTCATAGAAATTATTAAATAGAGCCTTCTGAGAATAGAATTTAATAAAAATTTGCGTTAAAATTAATTAAAATATTAATTTTATCCGCTTCAGAAACCATTTTAAATGTAAAAATTGTACAGTAAAATACATAAATAAATAATTTTCCATAAATCAATAACACTAATTGGGGAGGGTTGAAATTAAAATTAAATTTCCAGCTTCCATTATTAATTTAATAAACCGTTAATTTATATTTTTAACATATTTAACTAAATTTTCTTATTAAAATGATTAATTAAATAAATTTTCTTAATTACCCAAACCAATTTGAACTTATAAATTATTTATTATTTATAAATTTAGCTTTAAACCTATTCGTCAATGAAAGAAGGAAGAATAGAAACTTAATAAATTTTAAATTATGTTAATCAAGTATAAATCAGTAACATTAATTACATATAAAATGTATGCTACAATAAGTTATAAATAGTAAATGGAGAACATATCAATCTATTAATCAACGACACATTGGTTAATGGGTCATAAAAATTCAATAATTCTGATATAAATCGATTTCTAAAGCCGGTACACACGTATATATTGATCAAACCTCTGAACAACGGCCACTAAAAAATGTCCGTTTTTCGGAGGTTATTTCGTTTACAGGTGGTTTGACTGTATTTAATTATAATTATAAAGGACCTAGTATCGTAATGTGTTAAATTTTATAATAATATGATTTTTTTGGAGTGGGCGGGTGCCAAATATTTCGGGCACCATCTCTCACCATCCGGCTACCTGCATTGTAGGCCTAGTCGAACCCACGATGAATACAGAAAAAAGGCTTTCTTGATACCCACAAGGCCAGGAAGGCCTTGGTAACCATCATTACTATAGTGTCTTGCTCCTGTACATCATACTTTTTTGTTAACAATAAAGTCATGCAGGTCATCTATCTAACATCTTTCAGAGGAAACTTTTTGAATTGAAATAACGCGATTTCCGGTTTGCACCAGAAGTCAAAAAGTCAATTCAAAAAGTTCCCTACGAAAGGAGTTAGATAGATGACCGGCACGAGTCGATTGTTAAAGGAAAAGTATGATGTACAGGGGCAAGACACTACTAATTTAATGTGGATAACATATATTTTAAATTAAAAAATTATTTAAAATTGCAACCCGACATTGTGACCATGTCACAATAAATAATTGCTCATTTCTGTGTTAAAATTTATAAAATTTAGAAATTTAAGAGGTTATTTTACATCTCTGACGAACAGTTAATCTACGAAAAAATATTTTTTTTGTTTTTTTAATTTTTACTCTTTTTGTCTCGTGGGCACGAAGAAGGCCTCATTTTAGCAAGATCATTATAGATTAAGCCAGACCCACAATGGGGCTGCCGGGTGGAGAGGGAAGGACCCCCCGGATGGACCCCCGAAAAATTCCCGTTTTCGGCCCATCTGGATTTGATCCCAGGTTCAATTAACTTTTCTACGATTTTTTTATCAATCCCTTCTGAAATACAAAACGTCCAATACTTTACTGACTGTATAATAAACATGGGGTCTGCAGAGGAGGCAAATGGAGCACTTACCCCCGTAGGATCGAGTAAAAATTCCACAAATTTTAATCGTAAAAGGGATTGAGATATGTAACCTTACACTCTCGACCTGGAACGCTTTGTTTGCCACAACATTTCTTGTCTCTCATTAAAAAAATTCCAAATGTTAAATAATTAAATAAAAATTAATTGTTATAATTATTTGTTTTCAAAGTTTTCCCCTTGGAAAGTTTTCTGCTGATGCCCATGATAATAACTAAGTTATTAGAACAGATTATATAACAAAGTAAAGGATAATAATAGGTATACTGTATTTAAAATTTCAATTTTTATGCTATAAAATACTTCACTTTCCCACGGAAAAGTGAAAATTATAACGCATTTTCCAGTAACTATGAACTTTGTATGGAAGAATTGTTAGTTAATTCGTTAAATAGATTCTAGCGAATATGGTAAATACATATTTTTATGGAAGAGACAAATAACTTTTATCTTAGTTTATGTGTAAGTTAACAAATTATACGACTGTGCAATGGGTATATTATTTTTTAAATTATAAATTATTATAATAACACACCCATAACTACAAGAAAATCGAATACTTGAAGGAAAGTACAGTATCTTCGAAACTGTACTGTACTTGTCTATCGTGTCTTTATGGCATTTGTTAGCTATCCGTAAAGGAATTTCAGGATGTTACAGGCAATAAATACATTATACACTATATGTTACCATTGCACACTGCCCAAAGTACAGTATATATACTGTCCGTTATGTTATCCAGTACTACAGCGGATAATGTAGCGGCTTATATGATACTTATTGGTGAATAATATAGTTGTCATGTTTGAGCCATAAGGGTCACAGCAGTACCAGTTTGTTGCCGCCAAAACTACGGGGTGAATAGGCGAGCAGTAATTTCACGTGGGGTGTCATACAAAAAATACCGGTTAATCTATGAGTATCTTATTGTATTTATATAAGTCTTTACTCAAGTGTAATAAATACCGAGTTTTCTTGTAAGACGTGTGCCTTTTTTATTTGATAATTGCTTAAACAAAACAATTTTACACTTGCAATCGATATTGATGGGCGCCGCCATTTTAGTAAGGTTACGTGACGTTTTTATTTTTTCTTTAATGATAGAGTGACTAGAGGAACTAAGTATAAATAAATATTTGCATTATTTATAAGCTTAGTAATTAATGTTTAATTATTTAAAGTAATAATTACTGATTAGTTACTTAAATTATATTAGAAAAGGTCTGCTAATGAGAACCAATCACATATGCTGTACTAAATTTATTATTAAGACACGTAATAATTAATAAGTAATAATAACAAACTATTAAAATAATAATGTAATTAAATTATAAAAAAAATTTACACTAAAGATAACCTTTAAATAATAAGTAATATTAAATTTTTTAAAACAATATTTTAAATAAAACAATTAACATTAAATTATAAATAAAATTTGAAAAATATTTCACGCTTATCGTATCTAAATTATTAATTAAAATTAATTATTTATAATTAAATGCACAGATGCATAGGTATAACGTATATAAAGGACATTTTCAATCAAACAATCCAAGGAAAGCAAATAAGACACTTTATTGATTTTTCTACTTTTAGAATATTTCATGTTTAATTTTATCTTTCTTATCTTCAGTTGAAAGAGATAAATCCGATATTATTACATAAATCTGGAGATTGTTACCTTCGAGTAAGAGATTTCCATCACATTTCTCTTGGGCATCCTCGCCAGAAGATATCGTTCCACTTCCACTAACTTGTTGTAGAATAATTCGTAAAGGGAATCCATATTTCTTCTTAATTCGTCTTTGTTTAAATTGTTTAAAATATTTTAAAATGGAACGAAAAAACCGTATGGCATTCCTCAGACTCGGACAATCCTTAACGGAAGACAGAAGAGAAGTATACAAGGTCGCTGTTTTGGGTGCCGAGAACGTTGGAAAAACTGGTGAGTCATATGACTGTTACTCTTATTGTTCTTCCTACACTTGACGAATTCTTTGAATAGGCATCGTTAACCATAAGTCGATTCGTTTCTATAGAGCAGGATTTCCCAACAGTAGTGACTCCTTAGGGGTCTAAGAAAGTGTGACCCCTGAGGAGTCACTACCCCCCTAAGGATCGATAAAACTTTGCTAATAAAAAAATGTTGGAGGATGCCTTTTAAAAATGAAGTTAAATGCTTGTTGTGTATAAGAGGTCGATGGGAAAATATTTTAAAAGGTTGGGGTTTGGTTTGATTTATTTGTTTACCACGTGGCGATCTACAGAGAGGGGATGCATCCCGGGAGGACTTTCTATGGAAATTGGGCCTCTAGTTAAGTGTTAAACCCATATATCCAGCCCATTAGTCTATATGGAATTTCCTTCACCCACGAGCAACTATCAGTGTTAAGTGGTTTTATCCACTCGGCCACTGGTAGAGAAACCAAGTGATTTTGGCACATAAATATCAAAATATTTAATATATTTTTTAAAGTAGCTAAATTGGAGTATTAATAAATATTTTAAATTTCTAACGTTATTTTTAAAATTATGTAAATCAATAATATCTCATTTTTAAATGCTAGATGTTGCAAAAAATGATTTTCGAGTATGGTCGCCATTTAAAAAAATGGCTACCATTTTTATAACTACGTCTTTTACTAAGAGAATTTTCTTCGTACCCATCATAATTTGGCCAGACCTAAATGAAAATATTGGGGTGTTAAAGGACGGAACCCGCATATTCAGATCAAACCATCCAATAGAATACGACAAAGATTCGAACCCAGATCTTCAGCGAACGATTGCAGTTTCAAAAGAAAATAGCGGTCATTTTATTGGTATATATTTTAGTTATGTATATCATGAAAAGTAAATATAATAGGGGGCCTGCTAAATGACGTAACAATCCGGATTTCTATAATTTATCAAGTGCAGTAAAGGTCCATTGGTGTTGGTTGACTTCATTGTGGGCCGGTTCCGTCCGAAATTGGCGAAAATATAATTATAAAAGAGGGATTAAAATACAATAAAAGTTCGAATTTTTAAAATGTTGAGTTGTAAAATTAGTAGTAAACTTTTAATTTACTTGCATAAATAGAATTAACGCTATTGAATCGAAAGGTAAATTACCAATTGAATTACTGTTTAATTTTCAATGAAATTATTTTATTTTTATGTATAAAATTATCAAAGTTGAACATATTTATATAATCGCAGCTGAGTTAAACAAGAAATATACTATATTTGTCAGCTTTAAATGCATCTTTTATACTTTCTTTTTACGTAACTTAGTTATATAAATCCAATAGCGAAAACTTGACTTTATATAAAGAAATATTCGACAATATACATTGAAAATAACTTTATCTCGTATAGAAATAAAAGATTAAGGGAAATCACTTTTTTATTCTGTTTTTAACATATTTTTTTCCTTTTAAAAACAAGACAAATTTGCAAGAAAATTTTTATTTTAATGGTTAAGAAATTAAATATATTTAATAAATTGTGTTATTTTTTAATTGTTTAATTAATTTATTTGCATTTATTCAAAAAATATCCAGCAACGAGTTGCCTAACTTTCCTGGCTGTTATGAGATTTTATTCAGAAAATAACTTTTATATTATTAATTACAATATAATAAAATTGTGTGGCGTCATCTGTTATGAGACTTTGTTATAAAAATATTCTATATTTTTAAATTATTATCAAATGGAAAAATTCTTAATTATAAGGGTAGTGCTCAGTTTTATAAAAAATTGTGAATATTAATAAATTATAACATCTTCGTTGAGTACGATCTTACTCAAAGTATGACACATTACACTACCTCCCTACTCCCTCGACCCTATTAAATTTTGATGGGGGAAAACTACCAAAATTTAATAGCATCAATGTCCCTTATACACAAGCTACCTTGCCAAATTTCGTTTCTTTATCTTCACCCCATCCTGAGATATGTCATTTCATGAACAAAAATTCGATTCAATTTTTAAATTTTATAAATATTATCGGCATTAATAATATATATAACGTGCATTTATTATATGTTTAATTTTTTGTTATTATGAAACATTGAGTTAGTTTTGATAGAGACAATAAGATTAATTATTAACTTCCGCTTTACGAATCTCGCATTTAACATTGCTATACATTTTCTTGTTAAGATTATATGAAATTACGCATTAAATGTATTATTTTGTTTGCAATTTTTTCTTTCTTTATAGTATTTTGTAGTTTTCATGAACGTAATTTCATTAAGCATTGATCTTAAGAAAAACACTACGGTTCGCTTTACGACGACTCGTCTAAAGATTTTGATGGGAATTCTAATGGATATTCTTGTTAAATTGTCCACGAATGTTGTGTATTAAATTGCATGTTACACGCAAATTGGACCTTGCCTGAATACAGATAACAATATGTTCAGGCATGAAGACATACATGCATTGTATGCTCCCGCGACATTCTTATTTAAGCTGGCTTTCTATCTGGTTCCACAAATGCTCGACCAGCCACAGATCTAGAGACCAAGAAAGTGTGGTAACGTGATGGAGACATTTCTAGAAAACTACAACTGTGTGTGACCGAGCATTATTTTACTGGAAAATGTTGCCCTGTCACAAAAGGCAACAACGAAGATTGCAGATTTCCTGAATGTACTGCTGTGTCGATGTGCTTAATAGTAGTATGAGAGATCATACCGACTGTCATATGAGATAATTCTCCAGACTAAAATACAAGCAGTAAAGTTCCCTAGACTAGCAGACTAGCACACCAGGAAGCCTTTATCGTTAAGCAGTGTTGTTTAACAGTAAATGCCAAATTGAAGTGTTCTTCAGTGGTCGATACATACTCTAACACGATGGTCGGCTGAACCCAAATGAAACTAGCTAAAAGCAGTATGTTCGAGTCCGTAGCATTCCTTGCTTCTCTGTCACGACAGTATAGCAAACGAAGCCGACGATTATAGGATTCTAATGGAATGATGCATAGAGATTGCTTTGTATGAAAATTTATCTTTGCTAGTTGCCTGGTAATAATACGGGAAAAGACAGGATTTTGTAGTAAGACTTACAACTGTATTGTGCATGCTCACGATCAGATATTCGTAACCACTTTATTAATTAATGATAGTTTGTCTGGGCATCCAGAGCCTGCCCGCCATGTGTGCCATCACGTATGCACTGCTTCCAACACATGCTCACAGTCAGCATGTGTTGGCCATTTTGTTGAATTACCCGCCCTCTGGTGGATTATTCGGCAAAACGGTTATCTTGCTTCCCTCAGTCCAGGCTTTTTCAAACTCTGTCAGCTGTGCTTAATTTATTTTATTGTCGTGAAGGCATGCCTGATGCACGAAGATCTTTCAAACAGCAAGTACACTGAAAATTCTGAACACATTACGCCTTTGCGAGCATTATTACTGGATTCTATGGTAGTGATTATAAGGCACTCTGCTGGCATTGCCTGATGCAATTGGATCACAACTGTGACCATTCAAATACGTGAGAAACAGTTTTATGCTGAATCTATCAACGGCCATAACTTTTTAGTCAATGAGCGTAATAACATCTGATTATGTTATATTAAAAAAAATTAATTTTGGAACGCTTATAACGACGATTATTGATCTTAACTGGGAGCCATTGTGTATCTAAAATGGCGATTGTATTTTAAATTTATATTGTTTAATTAACTTATAACTTATAAATTATGCCACATTTAAAGGTTTATTATAGCAAAATTGTCCTTATTTATTTATTACAAAGTAACAACGTTATCGTGTATTATACAATGTAAGATTTTGAGTAATGAATAAAACATCATTTTAATTAACTGCAATTAATATTAATGAAGCGTAGAAGCTTAGATGAAGGCAATTAATCATTTTAATACCACTTTTATTATTTACGTTAATTTGCCACTATTTTGAATATTTGAGTGTACGGCAGATAGAGTTTCTTCTCTTATAAATATTAATTAAAGGTAAACCTTACTTATTGAATAAACGAATAAATGATTTATAATTATTATAAGTTTCTTTATAGATTAAAAAAATCAAGTTGGTCAATTTATGAATTGGCCAAAATTTAAATATATATAGTTTTTAAAGATTTAGACCATAAATTATGGCATAAATAAGTAAAATTAGTGTAAAAACTTAATTAATATTTTAAAAAATATTTTAAAAATTTTATTCCTTAGCTTTAATTGTTAGATTCCTGACAAATAAATATCTTTCCGAATATTCCCATTGCGGTAATGCTACTTATGAGAGAAACATCACCATCGATGGAAGAGTAATTGCTATTAATGTTTTCGATGCTTCTGGCAAAGTACGTAAGAAATTTCTACTCTTTTTATTTTTTAAAAATTTTTTATCATAAAGTTTTTATTATATTACTGTATTTTCGAATTTAGGAAACATTTATAGGATTAAAAAGGCACGGAATGTTGGAGGGTATAGAAGGATACGTTGTGGTTTATTCTATTGTTGATAAAAGGAGCTTTTTTAAAGCCAGAGAACTATTGAGAACCATTCAGATCATAGATAAACGAGCAGCAATCGCCTTAATTGGTAACAAGGAAGATCTCATTCATTTAAGGTAGGTCATATAGACATCATCATCATCATCATAAACAGCTGCTGATAATGATGTCTGTATGACACAGTATTTTATATAATACAAAGTACTGTGATTTATTTTGATTAAATTTTTCTCCATTTTCGTCTCTTTTTGCCTTGTGGGCACGAAGAAGGACGTTTTTCCTTACTATCGTAGTTTACCATTTCGGTTGCTTTCATGCGGCCAAGTTCACAGTGGGGGCAACCGGGTGGTAAGGAAAGGGGCCCGACATATATGGGCCTTCATCCATTAAGAAATCCTGGATGGCTCGCCCCGGTTTTGATTTCGGGCTCTTCAGAGCGATAGGCTGCCATCTTAGCAGCTCGGCTATCACGTTAATATATCTTTAAATGATACAGAATGCACATTCCTCCATAATTTATTTTCATTATTTGAAGTAGCCCCACAAGCATTATTATTGAACAATTTATTAATTATCTTTCAGTACTAAAAAGTCTGAATTCCTTCTTTTTCTTAGTCGCCATGTTTGATGAAGTGACGTCAACCTATCGCAACATTTTATTGGCTCCGTTGTAAGCATACGACTCCTCCGATTGGATTAACTGGCCTTTTATGTGTCTTTGCAATATTTTATTTAAATTTTGAAAATGAAAATACTGTATTTCACTAATACTGATAATTTTTTTGAATGCCTCATGTTAGGGCCTCCTTCGCCCCGGCTTTACGCTTTGAGCACTTGTTGCATAACATTATAACGTGCATCTTATATAATTTAAGTTTAAAATTTTTATACAATAATCCTAATAACATCTTTATAATGAACATTAAATTTTTTTTAAAGAAATAGAACTATAATAAATTGTAATTAAAATTAATCGTATTATTTTTTCCATTAATTTAATTAAATTAATAATTTAAAGCATTAAAATATAAATTATCCAGAGAAAAATTATGTATTAAAATCATTTTAAGATTAAAAAGAAAATAATNTATTTGATCAAATTTAATATTTAATATTATTGTAAATTATAATTACTAAATTAATTCATTTAAAAATTAATTTTTTAAAAAATTTAAAAAATAAATTTAAATTTATTTTTATTATTATTACTTTTTTAATTATTTTTCACTGATTTAAATTACGTTGCATAATTTTTTCCTTTTATTTTAATTGCATTTTTAATTATTAATTTTTTTAAATTTAATTGTATGGAATTTAAGAATTAATATTTTAAATATTTTTTCAAGGACTGTAAGCGGAAATGAAGGTTATAAAGAAGGGATTAAATATTCGAGATGCACTTTTCACGAATGTTCAGCAGCTAAAGAAGCTGAAAATGTTAAAATTGCTTTCCAAACATTTTTTAGACAGGTAAATTTACAAGTTTCTTTTAAAAATATCTAACATTGAGTTGCTTAACTTTCCCGGCGACATTTAAAACTGTGCGTGTAGTGCCATCTGTTATTTCATTATTAAAAATGTTTATATTTTTAACTATTATAAAATGGTAAAAAGCTTATTTTTGTGGACAAGTACGAGTTTTATATATATATATATATAACTGTAAATGCTAATAACGAGTAAAATCGTCATTAAGCCCGACTCTACTGAATATACAAACAACTCCCTTTATCTCCCCACCCCGTCGACCATTAATCACCAAAATTTAATAGCAACGATCACCAAAATTCAATAGCAAAATCGTGTCCCTCACACACATACACTAACATCCATACAAACAGAAGAAAACCCCTAATTTTTTGCATTTCTGAGCACATCAAGCTCCCGAGTCCAAAATTGTAAAAATTTCGGGGGTTCACTTTTTGATCGCTGGCCAATACTTTCCCTCTGTTACATATTTTAAGCTTCTAAGCCTGAAAATGAAACCCTTATTTTTTATTTTAAAATAATTAAAAACATAAAAAGTTTTTAATAATATAATATCGCAACAGATGGCGTCACACACAAAATTTTTAAATGTCGCCAGGGAAAGTTAAACAACTCGTTGCTGAGTTGCTTAAATGAGTAAATGTTGATAATTTGATGTGCAAAAATATTTGAAATTTTGCCAATTAGAGTGACTTTTAGACACGAAATTTTAAATGGTGTACAATGTAACATTTCAAACGCTTTTATTTCATAATTATCGTATTATGAATTTTCGAATTAAGTTTTAATTTAAAAATAAATATACAATATACTTTTAAAGACATTTTAATTTTTCATTTTTTCATACATTTGATCGTTATTCTTCGAAGTATGCACATTATATAAAGAATATTTTGTAAAAATGAGATTATCAATTACTTACCAATCATAACACTCGAAAATGCATTCTAAAAGCAGATTTGCCCAATTTGGCTTAGTAAATATGTACGCAAAATATTTACATAGGGGTTTTCATAGAAAACCGTGGCCATCAGTAGCCGAATGGATAAATCATGGAACATTTGGTCAAGCGTAAAGTAATGAGTTTACGCTTGGCCAGGTGAAGTTTTTCTGGGTTTCCTTCAAGAACTTGCACCTATATAGATGCAAGTTTCCCGTAAAAAATCTTTCCGAGGTACAACACTCTTTGGCAGATTGCTGGTGTGCTGCATTGTCACGAAACCAAAGCAAACCGAAGTTTTGTCATAGTTTAGGACTTAGCTGTTAGTAGTTTCCTACCGCCCTGGGAATGATTAGTAGTGATCCTTTTTAAAAGATTTGTGATCATTTGGCAATACTAACTCCTTCTCTCGATCCGGAAACATAGAGAAGTGTGAGCCCAATTTCGTGGAAGCCAGCAGGACGCAGGAGGAAAAACAAAGACGATGGAAAAAGGAATAAATAAGAATGAATAATGGCTACCAGGGAGAAAATTCCAATTAATTTTCAATTTCTGTTTGCATTTTGATAATATTCTACTGGAAGTTTCCAGATAGTCACAGAGCATGGTTATATGCAAATATATGCGTATATGCACGGTTTTATGCAAATCGAACAGCTGTGTCAGGTGACCTCGACTACATTGTATTTTGCATAACTTTGTATGGGAAACTCATCCTTGAAAAACTTTGTACAACCGTAAATGCATTTTAATACAATAGGGAATACAATTTATAGGGTTTACTTTGATTATGTGTTCGTACTGGAAGGGTTTAAAGACGATACATGTTACGTTCTGTTGATGGAATGTTTGCTCTTTTAAAGACGTAATTTCATAACTGGATATGCACTGTATATACACTATATACACTTCATAAAACAAGTACTTCGAGTTAAAATTACCGATACGATTCAAATTACTAACAAACTTCTTTTTTTTAGTAGGAAGAGATACCATCCAGGTTACCATCGATTTCCATTGCATATTAGAAATTATCATTAAAATTACAGTATAAATTACGTAATTACTAATTGTACAGTATAATGCTAGCAAATTTGAGAATTATTTTAGTGTAAGAATTCTTCATTTATACACAAAATGGAGCAATAAACTTAAATTTCATTGGTCACTTTGAATATAAAATTAATTATTACGATAAATTGAGAAATTGGAAAGTTTTACAATAAAATAGTTTTATTATCGATGTATCATTTTAGTAACAATAAGTTTGGCGGTATTGGAATTTTATAGAGAGTATTATTTATAATTTAGGGAAATAAGAGCATTATTAATTAAGCTTAAATTGTAATTAAAAGTAAGAAGTATTTTGCATACTCTCTTGTGATAATCATTAACATTACATTTATTTATTTGTATCGAAACTTGAGGTACTGACTGTAATAAACCTATTACAGTCAATCCTCCGGTTTGGAACTTAATCCGTTCTTAAGAGTTGTTCGAAAATCGAAACAAATTTTTCCATAAGAAACAATATAAAATGAATTAATCCGTTTCCGATCCCCAAAACAAAAGTTTTTGTTTACCTTTTTAGCTAAATTTCATGCATAAAAATGCTTACAAATGCAATATAATATATATATAAAGAGTTCTGTTTTGTCACCNATTTTGTTTAATTGTTAGATAATCCGAAAAAATAAATACATTAAATTTTTTTACGCAGCCGAGAAATTTAAAAAAAATTTCAAATTTTACTTAATATAATTAAAATTATGTACTAATTAATAAAATTATACACACGTAATTCAAAAAATCCGCTTACGTCATATTCTTTTTTTTAAATCTTTATTTCCACTTGAGGGCGTATACACACGCTTAAAATTTGTTTATCGATCTAAATTTAAATTTTATCGATTTTTCTGCGTAAAATTTATGTTATTTCTAATTTTCTTTGCGGCGAAAACAAGTAAATTTTATTTATTTTGTCTGCAAGGTTGTTGACCCGTTCTCACAAAACTAATTTTCTCTTGCCTTGTCAAAAAGCACCAGGAACATGTTTAATTTTTGTTTATATCGTCTTTTCTAACTCAGCAACATTAATTCTACTTACATTTAAATCTTTATGGGAAAAATTTTAAGTAAAATATATTATAAAAACTTAATTTTATGTATTAAAATCTTCAAAACAAATTTGGTTGAAATAATACACATTTTACGTCAGTTTGATGTCATCTATACAGTTTTACAATGAGTAATTCTCGAAAATGACGTCACATTTACGTAAAAAATATGCACCAATCTAACGTCAAGACGTTCAATTGCAATTGCGTTCATTAAAGGCATACATCCGCCATTTTGGATCTAAAAAAGTAACATGAAGATTTTTAATTTGTATATTAAATATTAATGTTAAAAAATGTATTTATTAATATTTAAATAAAATATCGTAACAAATGGTGCCACACACGATTTTAACTTTGTCTTAATGCATCGTTGTATTTCTTAAACAAACTGTAAATATTTTTCTCTGGGAAGGTTATACAATTGGTTGCTGGATTTTTTTACAGCAGGGTCAAACTTTTTTGATTGTCGATTCCTTCAAGGAATTCATCCACCCTTTCTTTTTTTTTAATGCAGTTAATAATGAATTACTGTTAATCCATATACAGCTTTCATTGGTTTCGTTTATTTGGTTACGGCAGTACAGCACGTGAGTCTGGGAGGATACCTTCCTTTGATTACTGCATTGCGACACGTAGCGATCTGCCGAGGAAGATGCTTCTCGGGATGGCTTTCTATGGGAAACGCCCCTATTTAGGTTACAAACGTGAAGAAAACCCGGAAAACTCTTCATGACCTGCCTTTTGGCCTGACGCGAACCCACGACTAACTACCAGTGTACACTGATTTTTTCCTTCCGGACACTGATGGGTTCACAGTTTCCATAGAAACGATTCACTACATAATTTACAACATTCTGAACTTTAATATACATAACCCTGGATATTTTGGGGATCCTGTTTTAGAGAAATGTTTAAAAAAATAAAAATAAATTTAAAATTAATTTAATTATAATTAATAAAACTAGTTAATATTTATTTATTTATTTTTATAATTTATTATTTACTAATAACACAAGCAAAGGTAATCATCCCCATCATTCATTGGTAATTTGATCTTTGATACCGATAATCAGCAAGACTTTTCGATATAACCGTAATTTTATTATAATTTTTCTTTCAGGTAATCCAATCGAAAGAAGATCGCCAGCAATATTACAGCAATAATAATAACAATAATAATAATTTTCCGCAGCCAAATTTACGAAGAAACACAATTAGTAATTTCACTTTATCAACTTGGTTGAGAAGATCTCGTTTCGCTTCAACCAATACTAAAACCATTAAAAAACCAAGAACATTTACTATGTAAACAATTTTTTTTCAACATTTATGAAGTTTAATATTTATAAAAATGTTTTGATTTATATTATATTTTATTTTATATTATAAAATATCTTGTGATTCAGATATACTTGGATTTAGATATTACTTTCAAAATCGTTTCAAATCTTATGAGATTGAAAAACTCGTGTTAAAATAATAATTCAATGTATTATTTATAAAATTAAATATTATTTCTAAAGCCTCGCTTATATGCCATAAATTTATTAATTAAATATTGTATCATATACGAAATAACGCGTTATATATCACGTGACTTAAAATGGCGCATCTAAACTTTATGATACGTGGTAATAAAATTAGTTTAATTCTTGATATAAATCACAAATTAAACTTTAAAAAATATTGCTAATCTTGATACTTACATTAAATTCATTGTTTTTTTTTCGAATTTAAATATTTGTTTTGAAGAATTCTGGTAACTCGTTTCAAAATGGCGACTCGCAGTTTGAATTTACAGTGCAAAAATATTGATTTGCTTTATTATTGCTCCATTTTTAGGCTTATAAGTTTTGTGTAAGTTTTTTAAAATAATTATAATAAAATTTTTAAAAAATGGTTTAAGTCTATGGTTTACATATATATTTAATATTTTAATAATTAAAAACAGTTTATAACTCGTAATAACAGATGGCGCAACATATATGTATACAATTTTGTTTAATTGTTAGATAATCCGAAAAAATAAATACATTAAATTTTTTTACGCAGCCGAGAAATTTAAAAAAAATTTCAAATTTTACTTAATATAATTAAAATTATGTACTAATTAATAAAATTATACACACGTAATTCAAAAAATCCGCTTACGTCATATTCTTTTTTTTAAATCTTTATTTCCACTTGAGGGCGTATACACACGCTTAAAATTTGTTTATCGATCTAAATTTAAATTTTATCGATTTTTCTGCGTAAAATTTATGTTATTTCTAATTTTCTTTGCGGCGAAAACAAGTAAATTTTATTTATTTTGTCTGCAAGGTTGTTGACCCGTTCTCACAAAACTAATTTTCTCTTGCCTTGTGAAAAAGCACCAGGAACATGTTTAATTTTTGTTTATATCGTCTTTTCTAACTCAGCAACATTAATTCTACTTACATTTAAATCTTTATGGGAAAAATTTTAAGTAAAATATATTATAAAAACTTAATTTTATGTATTAAAATCTTCAAAACAAATTTGGTTGAAATAATACACATTTTACGTCAGTTTGATGTCATCTATACAGTTTTACAATGAGTAATTCTCGAAAATGACGTCACATTTACGTAAAAAATATGCACCAATCTAACGTCAAGACGTTCAATTGCAATTGCGTTCATTAAAGGCATACATCCGCCATTTTGGATCTAAAAAAGTAACATGAAGATTTTTAATTTGTATATTAAATATTAATGTTAAAAAATGTATTTATTAATATTAATTAAGAATGTAAATTAATAAACTACTTAAAAATAATTATTAAACATTAATTAAAAAGTATAATTGTATTTTCATTTATTAAGTGCATATTTCCGCCATTTTGAATCTAAATGTAATATTAGAAAAATGTATTTATTTTTTAACTTTTAACATTAAAAAGCGAATTAATTAAAATTAATTATTCCTAATTAATAATGAAACATACAAAATTAACTAAGAAATACAGTTTTAATTAAATATTCAAAATGGCGGATGTACTGTATTAAATATATACAGTGCATCCGCCATTTTGAATAGAAAATAATAAAAAACGATTTAAATTTTTTTAATTTTAAAGAAATAGGCTAATTTACATTAATTATTGTTATTATTATTACTTTTAAATTATTAAAACGACTTTAAAGATAAACTAAATCGCTTATATATATATTCTTTTTTGTTTTTTTTAAACTGTAGTTTTATTTTTATCGCTTCCATAATGAAGTCATAAATATCAGAAATGTGCAAAATAAATCTAAAAATAAATTCTTAGATCTGATACTATAAATATATATATAATGGTAAAGACTGTAAGAAACTATGTACTTCAAACAAACATTAAATTCTCTTCAGCATCGATCGATCAATGGTGATAATTCGCTTAAGTATCGATTTACGAATCATCAATGGAAGAAATTAGCTTAGGTATCGATCGATAAATCATGAATGAAGGGTAATTCACATAAAAATCAATCAGCGTATCATTAAAAGAAAGAATTTGCTTCAGTATCGATTAATCAGTGGAAATAATTCGCTCATGTATCGATCGATCGATCATCATCAATGGAAAGCATTCGCTTTAGTATTGATCGATATATCATCAATGGAAAGAATTCACACGAATAGCGATCGATCATTATCACGGAGAGAATTCGCATCAGTATCATCATCAATGCAAAAATACATGTTTTTTACAAGAATTCTTGTAACCATTTTCGATTGTATCGTTTCCAAATTACTCGGATTGTTTATTGCTATTTCTTTTTTAAAGTTTATTTTATTTTTTCCGTTCTGTTTTTTTGCTACATCGACTCTATTCTAAATTTAGCGGCTACCGCTTGACGATAATTAAACATAAGCTATTCAAATACGTGATTCTAAAATAATTTATAATTTAATACAAAAATATCTTTCTACGTTACGTAATTGAATGCTTCTTGTATAATTAATTCATGTTCCAAAAGAGTTTATCGTCCATTTTACTGTATAAAGTTTAATGTTACCGATTAAAGTCCCGTTAATGTGCTTTGTGTTTACTTTCCTTCCTTTATCTTAAATTACTTATCAGTGATATATGTACTGTACATGTACGGTATGTGTATGTATGTACTGTATGTAGGGAATTTTTTTGCGTTTTTTAGGTCATATATATATATTTAATTTTTTANGACTTTTAGGCCACTCTATGCTGTGACATTGTTATAGTGTTTATATAATTATTTTTATATATAAAAAACAATTCAGTTTAAAAAGAACCGAGTTTACAACAAAAAGTAAACTTATCTACAGATGGGGAGAAAAGGGGGAATATATATATGTATATAATTGCTTTTTAATGGTTATATGGAGAATCGTCTGAAGTTAACAAACGAAGATAATTTATCTCGTTGATAAATTAATTTTGTAAGCGAACAATTTAAGGGACAATTTATTTTTGGTAAAATTGAACCAGTCACTGAACTAAAAGACAAGAAATCACGAGGGTTCCCACGTATTACATTCTTTTGGTTAAATTACTTTTCATTTACTAAAGGTCTCGCTGATGATCTATTGTAGAAAAAATAAATATTCACTCCCACAGAAATTTTTCTAAACTGGATTGGGAGGAGTAAACCTACAGATTATCCATTCGTCTTGGGTAATCATTTTTGGAAAACCATTTATATACATATATTTAACCTATCAACGTCAAGAACATTCATTCACCTCTTGTGTCTTGGTATATAATATAAATCACTTTTTACTTAACTATTTATTTAGTAAATTATAATTATAATTGCATAAATTAAGTCAAGGCCCACCAGTGGCCGAGTGGAGAAAAACCACTGAATATTTTGGTCGTGGGTTCGCGCCTGGCCACGTAGAGTTTTCCGGGTTTCTTCACATTACTGACATTTAAATAGGAGCCAGTTTCCCATAAAAAAAAACTCTCGGGGCGACAGATCGCCCTATACGAATAAATCAAACAAAACCAGAAGGTCCTCTGCCCTTTACCAAATGGAGAGCAAAGGGTCGTCTATAAGTTATAAGATTAAATCTTATAGTATGAGGCTCTAAGGTCTTTAGCCTCGAAGTTGTGGAATACTCAGCTTACGCGTGAATCCAGTAGATTGACGCTCCGTTTTGCTAGAACTTCAAATCTCTGACGCTAGAGGATAATACGGCGCCGCAATAAATCAAATTCGCATTTTTTACCTCTTGAAATTAGCTTCAGAGCGTTTAGTTGTACGCGCAAATTCATCCCCGTATCTGGAACGATTACGCTTTTAATTTTTAAAATTTCTGACACTAGTAGATAATATGGCGCTTTGATAAATTCAAAATAAAAAATTATCTTTTGAAATTTTTAATTACGTACGAATCTATTTTGTGTACATGTAAAATTTGCACGCGATACTATCATTTCTCTTCGTTAAGATCGTCCCCACTTGAAATATGACCTATGTACAGTACTCCCTGTATTTCCTTACCCCTCGATCTTTAGCCACCAAAATTTAACAGCGTCAATCGTGTTAATATACGAACCTATCTGCAAAATTTCAGAAATTTTTGATAAAAGGCACGAGAGTTATTACGCTTTGAAGTGGCTGAATAAAATCGTGCTCCCATCAAACATGGCGACTGTATACTGTATCAATATTAACAGTTGTTACTTCCGAGTTAGAGATAAATTGTTATATTTAAGACAGCATTATGATTATTCTAATTCCAATTGTTGCCAGATTGTTGCAATAAAACAACATAAACACGACTGATACCAATAACGTATGTCTCAGTAAAATTTGCTTTATTCTTTTCTTCTGCTCCACTCTTAAATCAATATTACCATGAAAAATCAAGTAGGCATTAATGCTAGAACCTCATCTAATGAAGTCAATCTAGTACTTTTCCGGCTGTTATATTTAATTAACAGAGGGAAAGTATGGCCATTAGTCAATTGGAAAATTTCTGAAATTTCACACGGAGATTTCTGTATGCGTAAACCGAACTTGCATGGAACCTAATATTATTTCCGGTTTGGCAGGTGTCCGTTTCGAACAGGTTTTACTGTATATGCTTTTTAAAATAAATAAATGCCAAGTTGGAATATTTAGTCGAATGTTTTCCATTTTTAAAGAATAAAATTGCTGATAATATATCAATATTTTATATAAAATCAAATATATTTACACATATTTAAAATAAAATTAATAAAATTAATATTTTATCATTAAAAATCGAATCCAATAAGCTACCAAACTTTTAATAACTGAGCTACTAAAATAGCAATTTTTACGTATAAAAATTTAAATT